ACTTTGTCTATATTATCCCTCTTAGAGGCCTGCTGGCGTTTTCTTCCATTACTTTAACTTTTTTGTCCATAACAGCAGCAGTAACTGCTTCTAGAGCTGGTTATTCCGTCTAAATAAATGGTTTGTGGCTTTGAGCATGCTCACCTGTTGCTAAGCAACTTGGAGAAATCCCAAATGACACTTAATTATGCAATCCCATTAACTATTGACCAGACCTTTAATTTCCTGCAAAATTGCTGTTTGCCACATTTGTGTTGTGTTGTGCTTGGATACAGACCCCTCTTTTCTCTGTAAGTTTCTCCTGCTGTTTCTTCAATTTCCAAAAAGCCTTTTTAAGTTAAGGAATTCACTGATACCAAAATGAAGGAGTGGGGTTGCGTGGAAAGTTTGATAATCTGAAATGATGTTTTGGCACCCTGTGAACTCCACCTGTTTGTAGAGGTGGAAGGAGTGGAGTTCAGATGTGAGTAGCCAAAGGAGAAGGGGTGAACTGTGCATAATATTCCACTCAGGACTAGAATGCATTGTAGGAACTTTGGGTTTCTTGAGAAGGTTCCTTGTATTAAAATGCAAGTCAAAAAAAATGTAATTAAAGATGGCAGAGAACAAAGAAATGAGGCTAATGTTAAAAACACATCAGAGCCTGTTGAGATTATGATTCAATTTTAATTTGTCTTCTTGTTAGTTCTAACTTCTTTTTCTTAACAGAAGTTTAAAATTGCCACACTCTTTGGGAAGTGAAGTTTGGGTTTTGTTCCTTTGGCTTCTTGCATCAGGCCCAGGGACTTTTGCCTGAGTCTTGGGACTGGAGCCCCAACATCCTGTGATGAGCATAACACACACTTCTGTTGTGTAGGAAGTCCAATAGAAGCAACATTCAGGCTAAACTTGCCCGATTTGAAATTTTTTTAAAAACCCAAATCCACAAAAACCCCAAACAAATTGAGTTGGGACAGCAGTGATTAGTTTGCTTTCACCACGTTGCAGTTTGGTAAGAAAATTAATAACCCATGCTAGATGTGAGTGCTGAATCCATTTTTCTGAACACTAATATCCTAATAGGTTTTGTGGGCCTAAATCTGAATTTGCTAATGTGGAATTTACATAAATGGCTCTAATTTACATAACACTATTTCAGAAATTCAGTGCCTGACATTGATTTTCTGCCAAGTGGGAGCATTGTGACAGATGGTGGAATTTTCCATCAGCCAGGTGATAACCACTGTAAAGGAGGTATTTGTCTTCCTCTAAGTCCTTGGCTTAAGGAAGGGGCTCAGTTATGCTGAAGAATTGTTATAGTGTACTTGTTAAAATTGGATTTATCCAATTTGTTTTACATATGGGATAATATGAATGCATGATTATGAATGAATCTTAAATAATCAGATTTTCGGCTTTTCCTGTCAATTTTCACCCTTTCATCATTATGTCAATTGACAGGAAAATGTGTGGATAAGCTTTTATCAGGAGTAGCACAGTGACAGTTCAAACATTTGGTGCTATTATGTGCTGTGCAATGAAAATGTAGTATGAAGTATTAGCAGTTTTTTTGGATCAGGGAATAGTGGAGTAGTAAATTGCTCATGAGTGGTAGGGAGCAAATGCTCTCTGAGGAGATGCTTGGCTTCCACCATTCAGGTTGTGCTGGCTGGAGAACAGGAGCAGATGGCAGCTGGCAACGTAGCAGCAGGTGCAGCAGCAGTAAAAACAGATTGTTGTCCTCTGATTAGGTCGTGTAGGTCTTTCCCATTTCTTTTCAGATCTGTTTGAGAACAACTGGGCACTCAGCAATTCCTCTTTTCATGGTAGGAGTTAGTTCTGGTAGATTTTTTTCACCCTTAGCAGAAGGGAAGTTTTTTATGCATATTTTTAAGCATGTAAGTATGACAGACCTAATCAAGCCACTTCACTTCCAGTGTTTTTTGAGACCAGCACAGAAGATGATGTGTCTGTGGGTTAATGTGGGTGAGGGCTTTCACTGAAGATCAGAAATGTGAAAGAGCTGTTGGTGAATCAGCTGTTGAGCTTTGAGTGCTACAGGAGGATTTTGCCATAATGTGAGAATGTCAGGCTTTGTACATTGGTGTTCTAGGAAGCACTTGAAAATAATTCTCAGAAGAGCCCAATTCATCATTTATCAGAACTGAATAGAAAACCTGCCTATTTACATTTGTAGAAATAAGCTTGAATTCCAGGGAAACGACTTTCACAAAGAAATTAAGTGTGCCTCCTGTCATTTTCCAAATGATGGTGTGGTGGGACTGGCTTCCTGGCTGCAAATTTTTAATTTCTTTTCTGTTGTGCAGCAAAGAAATCCTGCCTTGTCAGTTAAGCTGACTGGAGCTAAAAGTGCAGGTCATGTCACTCTGCCATTTCTGTTCCCACTGCTTTAGGCCTGGCCTGCTCCTTCTAGAGCTTCACAGGTACTCAGGAGGAAACACAGTGGGATGAGGAAGTCAGAATGGTAGTCACCACTTAGCTGCACTTTACCTTTGCTGGGTTCCCTTCCTGTCTGATAACATTTTATGGGGATCTCATTTAACGTGCTGTAGAAGGCAAGAGTTCATCTCTTGGAGGTTTTTGTCACCTCAAACTGTGCTGTGGGTGTTGGATATCTGTATCTGTAATACATTACATTTTGTGTTCAGAGGCTTCTGCAAAACCACAGATAGTAGAACCTTCCTGAAATGAAAGTGGTTTGCAGAATCTGAGCATTTCCTGCAGGCCAGACCCAGCCATGGACTCTTTCTTCCTTTCTGCACGGTTAACTCTTGAAAGTCCTCTAACAGCTGAAAGCTTTGAATGTTTTGAAAAGCCTCTTTAAGTTCTAGGTTATATTTAGTCTTTTTTCAGCACATTATCATGTAGGTAACGTTTCTTGGTGTGATGGTGATAGGCACATATCCTGGTGAAAGAGAGGGAGTTCATGGACACCTCTTCTGGAGTTCACCATAGCTTTCTTGCTGTGTTTAAACCTAAAAGTGTGCTTCAAAATAGAATGGGGAGATTTCTCACTTAGTCTAGACTTAAAAAGATGGTAATGTGTGATTGTATTAGAAGCAGAGCAAAACACCTCAGTGTGTACAAAATTATGGCTCTGCTGTTGTGTGTTCTGCCTTGAGTCTTAGCTGCATTCCTGTAGCAAAGCTGATTGCAGTGCGTTCTGGCCCCTGCTGGGAGCTTGGGTGTGATCACATCCTCGGATCTGTTACCTGGGTGTTCTGACAGTGTGGCTAAACATTGCCTTGTCCATAGATTACCATGTGTTGGGTGTTTGACCATTGACTGAGATAGATGAAATTTGCCAGGTTCATTTGGACTTGGCTTTACCCACAGTACCAGCTCCCATGGCATCTTCCTAAGTACATTCATCTCTTTGGGGTTTAAAGCTTCTGTTTTGCATTCCTGGTCCATCCAGCAGTGGGGTTGTGATTTCCTTTGCAGCTCTGTGTACATTGTGTTTGCAATTAACACCAGCCTGGTCCTGTCTTCTGAAGCTCTGCTCTCTTGTCAGTTTTTGATATCTAAAGAACAAATTCTCTGAAATTCACTAAATACAGTGAGTATCAAACATTTAAGATCTGGGACAGGGCTGAGTACAGCCAGGTGGGAAAGCCACTCTTTTTCTTTCCCTTTTGCTATGTTTGAAGCATAAGTTGTGGGCAACTCAGTTTTCCCAGGATAGGGGATGCTCTTGGGTATAGTGACAAGAGAAAACTTGCCCTGAGACATGCCTGCCTTGGCATGAGCTTTTGCAGACTCCTTCTGGATCATTCTATGCTAAAAGACTACTTAGTTCGGCTTCCTTTTTTCCCCCCCATTCTGTGTTCTGGCTGTGACCCAGTCTGGCCTTTCCCCTGCTTGTTGATGCCACCATTTCTTGTCACTGTTTATATTTATCAGTATTAAATAAAAGCAGATAAGTAATCAATGATTCCTGAAGTGCTTTTTAGAGGGCTCAGATGAGTAGTGTCAGTTTTGACATGCTTGTCACACCTGGAGGATGTGCATATGGAGTTTGAATACCATGTGGTTGGGAAAAGGGCTCTGTAGTGAAGGAGAGAGTTGCACCAATCAGTAGAGAGTGGGGGCTTAGCAAACTGAGTGCGAAGCAGAAAATCTGCTGTAGGTTCTGTATTTGGTACTAAGAACATGCCCTCTATTGGTGTTTATCCCTGTGAGTTTAAAAAACTATTTTGAATGAGTTTGAACGGTGTTTCAGTATTTAATAAAAAAGGAATGGGCTCTGGTTTGGGCTGAAGATACCTGTATTGTGTAACCAACCTGCAAATACTTTATTTTTGTAACTCACAGCTCCATGGAAGGTAGGTAGAAGTGCCCAGATGGATTTGTCCCTGGGCATGGGTGCTGCTGTTCACTTGACTGGTGGTCTGAATTTAAGTGAGAAATGACTTGTTGAGATTGGTGGAAGCAGAAGAGCAGTATGTGTTAGTTTGTAGCATAATAATTTTAATATAATCTAATATTCCTGCAGAGTGCTTGACACTCACAGCAAGTAGTGCTGTGCTGCTGATAAAAATAGATTGGACTTATTCTGACCTTCTAAAAATGCCCTTAATACAGTAGCACAGGCTTTGCCTGAGAACATCTGACTTTTAATTCTGATTGTGAAGTCAAGTGAGGTAAGTAGAATTTGGATTGACTGTAAATGTCTTAGCCACTTAGCAAATCCTCTTGAAGAACCTTGCTTGCTTGCCACCTGCTTTTTCCTGAGGATATGTGGGATGCTTAGCTACTGGCAGGTTATGAGGTGACCTGCCTTGGCCATGCAGCCTCTCCCACCTCTGGTTTGGTACCCAGGAATCCTCTCCCTGGCACCAAAACTCTGATGACACTGAAAACACATTGCTTAAACTGCTTACAGGGTAAAACAGTCCTGGTGCGTGCTTTCCACTGTGATTAGGTGGCTTATGCAATCAGGATGAGAACAGCCATTTGAAATGCTCATGGTTTATGGAGCTTTTGTTTTTTTCCCATAGTTTTCAGTTGACCAAAGAAATGGTGATGGAGAAGCCAAGTCCCCTGCTGGTCGGGCGGGAGTTCGTGAGGCAGTACTATACCCTGCTGAACCAAGCACCTGACTATTTGCACAGGTAAAGCTCTGCTGCACTTGGAACTGGTTTTCTGCATGAATTTCTTAACTTGTGTGTTAAAATTGGTGAATGATCTTATTACTGTGTCTTAGCTTGCTGAATTTGGTCACTTAAAAAACTGCTAAGCATCGTTTACTTTTGGTTTTGTTCAGCTGGCTTAAAAGATGGATAATAAAGATTACAGGAATTCTTTAAATATCTGAGTTCTGGTTCTTGCTGAAATGCTGCTTGCCACTTCTGCTTGTAATCAGTGTAAAGTGAAGTTGGAGAAATACCACTTAGCTGAGCATTTCTGTAGTTTTTGGCTTGATAAAATGCCCTCTCACTAGAAGGAAAGATTGAATAAGCTTTGTGCATGTCTGCTGGTCTCTCTTGGGAGTCACACCAGCTTGCTCTTAAAGGAAAGTCATGAAATTGTGGATATGCAGCAGACTATAATCTGTTATCTAAACAAATCAGTCCTGTTTGGTGTGACAGGTATCCTTCTAAAACTAGTCCTGTTTATGAAGAGACACTTCATTTTGTTGTGGTTTGATAAAGTTTCTGACAACTTCCCCCCATCCAGTCTCAGGAACAGTTACTCAGAGTGTTTCTCCACCATCCCTGTAGGTCAGGGGCAGTTGACTCTGTGCCATGGAATCCATTCCAGTCTTTTATCTGCTGGCAGAGTGCAGTGCCATGGTGCTTGGGGCGTTTCAGGTGGTAACCTCTCAGTTCCAGAAGGGAAGATTTACCTGCAATACTTATTTTACTGTAGGAGAGCAGAACAGTCCTATTGCTCCTTGCTCAAGCTAGAAATCAGAACTTGAGGGGGAGCCTTCAGCATCCAGGATGTTCAGGGTGTTGTTTTGGAGACCTCATGCAGAAAGAGGATAATGGGATTGGATCATGAGCTCTCATGAGACTTTGGTTTTGGTTGTTGGTGCCTGGGTCTCTGACACACCTGAATGTTACAGCTTACATTAGAAAACTTCGATTTCCCCTCACCCTCTGATTAGTAACAGGATTATGAAATTTTGTGGCTTTATTCTGGTGATTCAGACAGGAAACTTACTTAAAAGTGAATTATTTGTACTGCACTCTAATGTAGAGGCTCAATGTTCTTACACAGGAAAGCTTGGCATTAAAATATTTCTTTCCAACAGGTTTTATGGAAAGAACTCTTCCTATGTCCATGGTGGCTTGGATTCCAATGGAAAACCAGCTGACGCAGTCTATGGGCAATCTGTAAGAACTTTTAAATAAGAAACTTGTTCTTTCCTTCTATTTTGTCACCTTTATGGTTGAGAAGAGAAATGTATCCAGCTGTGATTCACCCCCACACACTGTTCAAGTGCTTCCTGTAAAAAAAAGGAAAAAAAAATGGGGAGGAAAAAACCCTCTTGACTATAGACAGCAGTAGTTAGGCAAAATGTGCTTCCTTCATAGAAAGCTTATAATGTAAAATTACAAAGCAAACTTAACAAGCATCCTGCCAATCTCTCTTTCCAGAGTTAGGGAATGTATCTTAAACCAGTTTTTATGATTTTTCTTTCTCTGAAACCTGCTTACTTAGCAGAAATAGCTTCTGCAGCAAAACCCACATGTACCATTCTTTCCTAGGATATCCACAAGAAGGTGCTGTCATTAAACTTCAAGGATTGCCACACAAAGATCCGTCACGTGGACGCCCACGCCACCCTCAACGACGGCGTGGTGGTGCAGGTGATGGGGGAGCTCTCCAACAACATGCAGCCCGTGCGCAGGTTCATGCAGACCTTCGTGCTCGCTCCTGAGGTGGGTGTGCTGCTGCCTCCACTGCTGAGCTCTGCCTGCCTGCAGGGATGCACTCTCAAGGGTTAGGCTAGGAAGGTTACTTGCCACAAAATTCAGCAGTTATGTTCTGAAAATTCCTTTGGGAATCACACTACTTCTGTGTGGTTGTACATTGACCTTGGATATTGCAATCAGTTATAAATATCCTGACTTTGGACTCTTAGGTTAGTGCAACACTTTTTTTTTTTTTTTTTTAAGCATATTAAAATTATATTGTCTTTGATTTGCTATCCTAGCAACTGGTTTTTTTACTGAAAAAGAGGTAGTAGAAAGAGGGAAATGCTTCCTGTCACTTTGAAAATATGGGTTCCAGATTTTCTTGTTCATAAAGTGCTGACTTAGCATTTGAAGTGGCATTTTTAAATAGACTTTTTTAACAAAGCAGTTCACAGAAATGAAAATGATAGTGAAAAATGAGTGTTGCAAGATCACTCTGTTTGACAGTATGACTTGGAGATAAAAATTGATACTTTGAACACCAGGAAGTTGTCAATCACAATTCTTTAGTGTTGTGAGCTATTGGAATTAAAAGCACTTCAAAAATTTTTTTTCTTTGTTCCATCCATACCTAACTTATTAGGAGTGATGTGTTTTTAGTTTCTCATTTTCCTGCCCCACATAACATTTTCTTAAAAGAGGCAAATTTGGATTAATCTTGTAGGAAGGACAGTTTGCTCAAACCTTTCTTGTTTTCACATTATTTCAATTTCTACATTACTGGATTGTTGTAATTGATTCAGTTCTTCCCTTTGATTTGCTCTTAGGGCTCTGTTGCAAACAAGTTCTATGTCCACAACGATATCTTCCGCTACCAGGACGAGGTTTTTGGGGACTCTGATACTGAGCCTCCAGAGGGTAAGCAGCAGAAATATTTGGATGGTTCTGTTGGTGTTTGGTTCTGGATCTATATCAACATTCTATTCCCAGATTAGATTTCATGTGCTTGTAGGTTTTTTTCCTTGCCTGTGGTTCTTTACGGTCCACCAAGGAGTTGTGACATGCAGATGATTATTTTTCTGGCATAATCTTTTTCTATTACAAGAACTGTAGGACTTATTTTGGCAGTTGGAGTCAGATTTGTAGATTATAAATCTTGTTCTCTGAAGTATTTGGAGCATGTTTTTTAACCTTGGTCAAAACTGAATAACCAAAACGATAGTGGAAATATACAGAAATGTCTGTTTCATGTCACATTTCAAAAATGCTTCTTGTGTGTTCTTTGGCAGAAACTTCACCTGTATTTTGTGATAAGTGACTTGTGTTTGAGCCTCTTACTAAAGATGTGTGGGTTTTTTTTTTTCTTTTCTAACCTTATTTAGAATCAGAGGAGGAAGGGGAGGAACCTGAGGAAAGACAGCAGACACCTGAGGCTGTTCCTGATGATAGTGGTGCTTATTATGAGCAGGCTGTCAGGTAATAATATATTTATAGATGAAGTCAGGCATTCTGTGGGACAGGCTGCTTGTAGAACAGGTCACATGAATTTATTGCTATTAATAGTTTTCTTCTGACAGTCAAAAAATTCTGTTTATTGATCAGCTGAAATTAAAATGCTGTTAGACTGACATGCTGCTGTTAGACATGGAGACTCTGGATTTTTTGTTTTGCTGCTTCATAGTGTACCAATGCAAAATGTGCATCCTTGTGCAATGTGGCCTTATTTGGCCTTGTTCTTCCTCTCATATGTCATGAGCCTGACTTCTGTATTGCATAAGTAGCACTGCTTATCACCAGTAATAGAATAAATACAATACCACCTCTTTTTCCTGTTTTTTGTGCTGCTGTGTAACAGCAATGACATCGAGGAGCACCTGGAAGAGACAGCTGCAGAGGCAGAGCCTGAGCCTGAGGCAGAGCCTGAACAGGAACCTGAACCAGAGGTGCAGGAAGAAAAGTCTGAGCCAGTATTAGAGGAATCTGCTCCAGAAGAGACTGTGGAAAAGAGTCCTTCTCCAGCTCCTGCTGATCCAGCTCCTGCAGTGCAAGAGGACTCCAGGGTAATGACTGTGGATCTCTCTTTTCTCTGATGTGGTTTCATCAGTGTGGCTCTCCTGTCTATTTACACAGCTTTATTTTTACCTGGGGATTTTTGTCACTTCTCAGTGTTAAGGAAGGTAAAGTGGACAGATTTGGGTTCAGGAATCCAATACTTTGGTTAACCTTGATGTGGTACTTGGTGTTTGGTGTTGGGCCACTGCTGTGTCCCGTTTCAACTCTCCATTGTCATTGCGCTGAGTCTTTTGAATTTAAATAATTTGAAGGAAATTGGGGAAACTGCTATTGGCTGGCTCCTGATTTTCAAGTACAAGTTAAAATTTGTTCCTGGTATCCTGTGTCTGTTAGCTGTCCTGTCAGTAATAAATTTCAGATGGAGATGTAGTTAATATCATTCTCTTTTTAAGACATTTTCCTGGGCATCAGTAACCAGCAAGAACCTTCCTCCCAGTGGGGCTGTCCCAGTATCAGGAATACCACCTCATGTTGTGAAAGTACCAGTCTCACAGGTAGGAGTCCAGCACCTGGAGAAGTTTAAGTGCTAAACTGGCTGACAGGGGAAAAAGAGTGAAATCTGCTTGCTTCTGATTTGACTTCCCAGGCCCCAAAGACTTTAGCATTCTGTGATTCCTGGTAGACTTCATGAAGATGTTATTCTTTGGGTTTTGGGTTGAGAATTAATTGTTTCTCATGGAGGAAAACAGGGAGTGTTCATGGGAATGCTGCTTGCTTTTAGCATATAAGCCAACATGTATTTTAGTCACAGGTGGAAGAAACTATTACCTTTTCCTGTATTTTTTTATTACCAACTTGATAGTGAGCTCTTAAAAGCTGAATGTGCTGGTATTTCTGACTCTCAACTGTCCACTCCTTTTTGAATTTGTGCAGCCCCGCCCTGAGGCAAAGCCTGAATCCCAGACCCCCCCTCAGAGACCTCAGAGGGATCAGCGAGTGAGGGAGCAGCGAACGAGCATCCCACCTCAGCGGGGTCCTAGGCCAAGTAAGAGAAGCTGCTAAGAAGCTATTTTCTGTTGCTTAAAAGTTTTGGGGAAGCAATGTGATATTTAAAGCTTTTAAAATATCATTATTTTTGTCAGTAAGCAAATGATTTTTACTCAAGTAAAAATTCAAGCTTGGCCTCAGCCAGGTGATTAAAAAGCAAATCATTACGCACTTGCTAGTGTAGACTGCATTCCTTGTTTTGTATATGAATGGATAGACAGCGTGAATTGATTCTTTCTAATGGTGATAATTCTGACCATGGCTTGTTTTTCTGTTTGTTCTTGTTCTGTTTGTTTTTTCTGTTTGTTGACTTTTCTAAAATCAGTTTGCTTTTCTGTTCAAGTTCGCGAGGGTGAACAAGGCGATGTGGAAACCAGGCGGATTGTGAGATACCCAGACAGTCATCAGCTGTTTGTTGGGAACCTTCCCCACGATGTGGATAAATCTGAACTTAAAGACTTTTTCCAAAGTAAGTTGGTTTCTTTGCTGCTCTCTGAGGGGGTGGGGGTTGCAGCCATGGGCGTGGCCAACAGAGCATTCTAATGTATGACCCAAGAACTTGGCTTTTCTCTTGCAGGCTATGGCAATGTTGTTGAACTCCGCATCAACAGTGGTGGAAAGCTCCCTAATTTTGGGTTTGTGGTGTTTGATGATCCTGAGCCTGTTCAGAAGATCCTTAGCAACAGGGTAAATAAATTTCCAGGCAGTGGTTTTCAGTCTGTTGACAACAGACAGTGCTTTTCAGCTTAACAGGAAGAGAATGTGCTTGATACCTTTAGATTTTTTTTTGAGCATATTAAAGTAGATGTGATGTTTTTCCCTCCTGTTACCAAGATTTGTGCAGTCTTTGTCATTGAAGTAGCTTGTAGGAGCTCATTACAGAGCCTTTTTCTAGTGGGAGATTGAACACAGGAAGTGTATAAACAGCTTTTAGAAGGACAAGGTAGAGAGAGTCTGATTCTATGGACAAGTAGAATCTTGTTTGTCAGAGGCTGAAAGGAAGAAGCTGTATTGGTGTGCACACTGAAAAGAATTTTGCTAACAAAGGCAGGAGGTACCTGCTCAGCCTGTCAGCAGTGATTGCTAATGCAGAATGTGTGTCCATGCCTGCCTGCCTGCTGTGGTAGGCAGGGACTCTGGATGCACCCTCATAGCCATGCAGGGAGCTTTTCTGAAACCCATCAGAATGTTCAATGGTAAGCCTGAGATGGCTTTTCAAGGGTCACTCCTTCAGATCTTTATTTTTTCTACTAAAGCCCCAAAACTGGATACATGGTTTTGCTATTGCCATTGTTTAGTAGGTAATCCTAAGACCCTGCAGCCTTTCATGGAGAGGAGGATATGAGACAAAGTTGCAGGAATCTGCTTGACCTTGAAGAGCTCCTGGTGACCCATTAATGACAGCACCTTCTGTGCTTCTGTTGCAGCCCATCATGTTCAGGGGAGAGGTGCGCCTGAACGTGGAGGAGAAGAAAACACGAGCTGCCAGGGAGGGTGACCGCAGAGATAACAGACCCCGTGGACCTGGAGGCACTCGTGGGGGGCTGGGAGGTGGGATTCGAGGGCCTCCTCGTGGAGGAATGTCCCAGAAGCCAGGATTTGGAGCTGGAAGGGGGATCGGGCAACGCCAGTGAATTCATCGCGGATGTTGACGTGATGGCGCAAACCCTTTTTCCTGCAGATTTGTGAATTTCAGCCTTGGGTATCTTGGAATGTGGCCCTAGCCTGTTATAGACTGCTACGTTTGATACTATTTTGGCCCCTTTTTGTTTGTGTTATGGTTCTGTGATTTATTTTTTTCTAGTCCTTGTCCCAGATTCCAGCTTTGTGGAACAACGTTTTAGGAAAAGTGGATTTTAAAAAGCAAAGAACTGAATTTTCTTCTTCACCTCAAACTTACGGACTGATTTTTGGTTTTTTTTGGTACCAGTGGTTTTTCCTAAGGAATGTCTTTCTTTTTTCTTTTATTTTTTTTTTCCTCCCCTCTTTCTAATGAATTTGGGTGCAGTCAGCGGAATAATATTTCACGTGCATGCATTCAAGAGCCTGTAGGAAAACATAGTTCTTGGCAAGTATTCCAAGGGCAGAAAAGCAAAACTCTTGGTGTTTCTTTGAGGGTCATATGAACATCCTCCGGTCTGGAAACATTGCCACTTGAAAAAATTGACTTTCACCTTTCTGTGGCGCTGTAAAAGTGGAATAATGGGTATCCGTAGAATCTCTTTTCCTTTTGATACATGATCACAGCAAGGAATTCGAACTACTGTTTTACCACTTTGAAATTTTGGATTGTGGGATAGGTTTTAAATGTCTAGAACTTGACTCTTCAAACACTTTTCCTGAACTTGTGAAATTTTTTATTGAAATAGGGAGTTTTTTTCATGTTTAGTTTGTATTTGTATAAAAAAAAGCAAAATTGTTGTGCCTTCTATTTATCTCTCATTCCAGTTTTGGCAAATTGTTTAAAAAAAATAAAATAAAAAAGGTCTAGATTTGCTTTATCAAGTCAAGAGTATTTTGGAGTTTGTCCAAGGGGAAGAGGCTCTTCAGTCACTAGGTTTACACGGTAGAGGTGGTTGTAGCTAAAGCTCTTAATACCTTCTGTGCATCACTTTGCATTTAAATTATTGAAAACAAATACTTCTTGGATGCAGAAGTTAATAACTTGAACTTGAAGCTGGGCAGGTCCTGTTGTAACCATTGCAAAATTACAAGCAAAGCAGAAATACCTCTGTCACATCCTTTACATTTCCAACTGCTGTAAAGTAATAATTATTTTTGCAGTACTTCATTCCTTGCTTCAGACCTGAAGTGGATAAGAAGGAATTTTTGTCAGAAGTATGGAAGGTGCTTGTCTGTCCGGGTGTTAAGATGTTGAACACTCCACTGCCTCTGGAAGAAGATGAAACTGAAAATAAAATACAAAACTGGGTAATTTCAGACCAAGAGATCCTGTAAGATGGTGCTGCACAAAGCAGTATTTCTGTAATGGCTGGTGTTAAACATCTGGATAAAAATGGTGGATTTGTGTCTCCACTGGACCTCCAGGTCTCTTGGTAGCACAGTAAAGCTGTGTAGGAAGTTGGCTAATCTGTGCCAGGTGTCAGTGTTTCCATGTTTCTTGGTTTATGACTATAATGACTGTGCATATGCAGTGTATCATCTCCTGACCTGTGCTTGCTGTAAGCTCTGGAGCAGAGCTGCCCTCAGTATTACCTGTCCCCAACAGTCATGTTTGGCCTTTTCCTCTGCCAGATTTATTGGTTGAAGCTGGTTGTACTAAATGTTGCTGAAGTGTTGGTTTCTGTTTTATTTTTCTCTTTGCATTTGTTACACTGTTTGTCCCTTCCCTCCTTACACCTGTGTCAGATTGGCCTGCCTACCATCTGTACCTGGAGATGTGATACCTTAGTGAACTGGGGGAGTGTGAGCTGTGCTGTGCTCTCACAGCCAGCATTTGGGGAAATTCTGCTGCTTCCTCTTGTGGTAGTAACTGGTATTTTTTTAAAAAACAAAAGCTGTCTGAATTTTTCCTATCAGGAATGCCTGTGAGGTGAAAGTATGCAATGGAGATCTTTTACTGAACCCTGTCCTTGTTGTTTGTGATGTTTTTTTCCCCCTTTGTTGGGTTTCTACTGTTCTTGACGTTGAATCCGAAGACTGCAGTAACAGGTTGCACTTCAGACTTATCAAAGTGCTTTTAACAGAAGCTTTTATAGCTCTTAACCAAATCTGCAAAAGCATCCATAAGCTTGAACCCCCATTTCTGTAGTGGGAGCTGGACAGTTCTGGCTCATTGCTGTCTGATTTGAAAGAAGAGTGTCAGTAAAGAATTTTAAAGGGTGAAGTGTGTGCTTGTTCTCATATGAATCATACTCAATATGTTGACCTAGAAAGTCATGTTCTTGTCCCAAGATGACAGGCAAATAAAATATTTACGTAAAATTCTGTGGGAATGTCTTGTAAAGAAACTTTCAAAAAGAAAGTTATGTTACAGAATGACTCTTGGTATTTGCATTTTGGTGGCTCTGGTACTCACTAATAACAAAGTCCTCTGAAGAGACTTGCTGTAAGATGTTGCACATTGATTTTGATGTTTAGGCTTTATGTAGCCTCCAGCCCCTTCTGCTTTCTGCCTTGCTGTGCTGTTAAAACCTCAGTATCTCTTGTCTAAGGCCTCCAGTCCTTTCCATACATTCTTGAGGATGACTATGAAGAAGCCACGATTTGATTTGCCTCTGTGGGCTGCATGAGCTCCAAGGAGGCTAATAATAACCAAGGTAGTCCAGCTCTTTCTAGGAACCAAATACTGCAGTCTGAAATGCATCAGACTGTTGGTGTCTCCTTTCTAGTGCCTCCAGTCAAGACAAGGAGGGGGTGGCACTGAAGTGCTCTTGGTGTCCCAGTGCTCTGCAGGGAGTTGGCAACTGAAGAAGAGCTGTCTAGAGCCGTAAGACTTCTGCACCCATCACAGCCTCATGGACAGATCTGGAATAGCCTTCATGGTCAAAATACCTTGATCTGCCCTTCTGAGAGTACAGAGAGTGTTTCATGTATGACTGGTGTGATCTGGCCTCTTCTGCCTGATCTTAATAGGTTAAGACAGAAATGAGGACGTTTCACTTGCAGGGGTGTTTCATGGCACCCAGACCAGAACTGGAAGCCATGAACTGCCCTTGCTGCCTTCCTTCAACAGCATTGCACAATAAATTTAGGTTACCCCTTGAGCACATCTGCAGTACTGGGATGCACCAGCAAACTTGTGTGGGGCTGTTTTGTAAAGCTGAACTGAGATCTGTGTGTTTGGGCATGCAGATGTTGGTTCTGCATTTCAGGATTCAGACGGATCACTTCCTTGCTCTGCAGGGCCCTTTTTTTTTTTCTTATTTTTCTTTAAATTTGCTCAGACTGAAGCTCTGGTGTTGCTGGGTGCCCACCATACAGGTGAGTGTGCCAGTGGTGAGCTTGGCAGAGAGGATTTACTCTGGAGGTAGACAACAGCCTGTGTGGTAACAGTGAGCTCTGACTTCAATCTGAGCAACTTCCCTCTGGTGCCACAGGGCAGAGATGCCCTTGAGACCTGGGAGTTCACTGTGCATGGTGAAAAGGATGATTCTGCATGCAGGTACGAGGATCCAGAGTTGATCTCTGCAGCTGCTTATTCTGCACATCCTAGAAGGGCATATTTTTGAACTGTTTTTGCTCTGTTACAAGGTTTTTTTTCAGGATAGGAGCACACACTGTAAAGTTGTAAGCTGTGTGTGCTGTGGGAAGAAGGAATTCCCTCACTGATTCTGTTTCCCAACACTAAGATCATTATCCTTATTTGAGTGTTATATGGAAGAATGAGGAAAGTTGGTCCATTAAAACCTTTTAGTTATGACACATGAAACTGAATAAAATTCTTTTAAATTCCATCATCACTTATAGTTTTTAGAGTAATGGCATGTTCTCAGAATAAATTTGAAGGGCAGGATCCTGCCTTTCTATTTCCTGTCACAAAATGCCATTTGCCAAGCCAAGAGGGACCTGCTGTTCCACTGGTGATATTTCAAACTTGACAAAGCATCTGACAGTGGAAGGAAAAACACTTTATTGTGACCATCTTTGTGATTCAGTGTGAGTCCTGCATTCTGAAATGTCGTTTTGGGTGTTTGCACCAAGGTCACTCCATCCACCTAAGAATTTTAAAGCTATATATAAATAATGTCCTAGCTTGCAAAATAGTACATGAAATACATTTTTCTTTGTGTTCCCAGCTGCTGTGTGGAGCAACCAGCAGTACAAAATCCATGGAGAGAAATTTCAGAAAAATCTTTAATTTTTTTTATTGGAATCAGCATGAATGTATGATTCAATAAATATATTTTATATACATTTAACAGCAGAAACTTTACATTCCATCTTCAAACTGCTGAAATAGAACTTCTGTTTTAAAATTTTTTTTTACAAGCCAGAAAAATAATTTGCCACTGTGGCTGTGTGGTCATGCAAATTGTCTAAGTTACAGGTTTATGTCTTCATGATGTAAAAATACTGATTTGAAGGAAGCAATTGCTTTGCACTCTGACCCATGTAGCAAAATATCCTTAAATGGAGTGTAAGGCCATACCCATTTTGTGTATGTATAGATTTATACATATGTATATATAGTAAATTCATACAGAAAATACAGGGACATCCCTTTTTAAGGTGGGTAGGGAGAAGATATGTAAGTACTTAATGATTAAGCTGATTTATTCATTTTGAAAAATCTTACCTCTTATGTTTTAAACACAACTATATTTTGTATTTCTCACCTGCCTCCTTTGTTCTTGAAGGGAGAGTAGCATGAAAATTAAAAAGCACTGACTTTTCTATTCTTTTTTCAGCTTGTCTAAATGAACCAGTAGAGGTACTCAGAGAGCACTTGCATTGCCCACTTCTTTCCTCCTTCTTACATTAACTCCAGGGATTCTTACTCTGAATAGTTTTCTGATTATCTCCTATGAGATGTGGATATTTCAGCACCCACCATGCAAAGAAGAAAGTGAAAACAGCTGCATATGCAGCTCTTTCATTGTTTTAAAGATGCTCATGTGAAGTTAAAGGGAGATGAGTTTTGTCCTGTTAAGAGCAATTGCTCCTTTTTCCTATGCTGAAAAGTTGATCAGACTTGGGTCAATTTAATGTCACTGCTTCGGAGATCTTGATAAGATTGAAGAAGGAAAACACTCTGACCTTGTTGCCATCCTTTCCTGTTGATGAACAATGTTGGGAAAACATCCTTTTTGTTTTGTTTTTTTTCAGCAAGCGCATGAAACCCCACATAAATAGCTCTAATCTGGATTCAGTACTTACAGAAGAACGCTGATATAGTGTTCTTACATGTGGTGTACCTGTGTGTCAAGAGGCTCTGTCCAACAGCCAAGGTCTGGGGCTGTGTTCAACCCCACATTCTAACCCTGAGGGAGGGTGGCTGGCATTGCCCTCCCTGGGGACAGGGAGTGCTGGCAGAGGGATGGGACACCCTGGAACATCCCCACTGCTGCTGCTGAACCAGCCCGGCCTCTGTAAACAGCACCAAGGCTCTGTTGTGTTTGGGAACAAATGAGCTTTAGTAAGCCAAGTTTTGGAAACAAAGATTTTCTTCATACAAATGGCTTGCAGATGGGAGAGATACAGAAAATGGGGCAGTACAATGCCACTGCTTAATAGGCTTTTTTTTTTCTGAAGTTTTTGAGAGGTGTTCTTCCTAGACACCAGATTTTGAGGGTTTGACTAGTGAAATAAATGCTGTGGGAAACTGAGATAATGTTTATCAAGGACAGAAGGAAAATGCTGTCTAGGTGCTGAACTGTTCCCACTTCTATTTGTTTTACATATTTTCAATTGGAAAGAATTCCTGCTGTGTGTGTTTGTATCTCCCCTCCAAAGCAAAACCAAATGTGCAGTGGTTGTCCTGAAGAGAAATATCTTAATATTTTTATTTTTCTTCTAAATTCATTTACAAAACAATGTAAATGGGTGTGCGTTTATAGTTGGATGGGAGAAATTTGTAGGTCCTCCCCCCTTTTTTTTATGTCACTTAAGTGTAAGTTTTTCATTACTCCTTAGTTGTAATTTAACAAGCATGATATGCTATACACTGTGGTAGAAGGTGAGAGACAAAACAGTCCATAAAATGTCACTGTCCACGATGTTTGGCCTGTTCATGGCTGTGGTTTGATCTCAGGTGGGTGGTGACAAACTGGGACAGGCTTGTGCATCTTCAGGGTTCCAAGGCTGCTTCCAGAGTGGTGTCACCAGTGCTGCAGGATGGCAAACTGCGATGGAGTGCAGTGACCTTTGCGTGTCAGGCCATTTTTAGGTGAAGTCCTCTGTGTGTTGCTTTGTCTCTACTTCTCTCAGTCTCTTAATCCACTGAAGTTTTGCTGTATCTCACACACATACACAAGTATGAATGGCTTTTAGCACAGTTACCTCCTATAGCACAGTTACCTCCTATTTCAGTTCTTTTGAAACAGTCAAGCCTTTGCTGCAGCTCGATAAGTCCACGAAAGAAGAGGTGAGCTCTGGCCATGATTAGTGCTGTCAGTGTGTCGCGGCCAGACTTGGGAACCACACAAACTTCTCCATTTGTGTAGGAATTCCATTTCACAGTAGGCTTGAGATGCTCCAGGCAGTGCATTTTTCAGGATCATTCATTCCACATGCATGTGGTGAGGTTAGTCCCTTGGCCTTTGTGCCTCAGGTACCTCTGGAGCTGCTGGTGTCCCCTGACCCCCTGCCCTGGTCACAGGGAGCACCAGGCTGGTTGTACAGTGACAAGGAGCTCAGAGGCAGAGTTCAAGCACAACAGGTCACTCTTCCCATTGAGGGGAAGGTTAACTGCTTACCTGCCTCTCAAATTCTCTCATTACATCACTGTTTGAATCTTAATGTTTGTTTCCCAAAAATTACAATTTGAACGCTCCCAAAGCTGACAGATCCCCAGATTAACCTGCTGCTGTGACCTGATGTAAGGATTATGGATCAATTATTGTTCTGAAATGTGTGTGTGACTTTTAAATGCCCTCTCAAGTTAAGTGGCACTGGTCAGGGCTGGTGGGATGGGATATCTGGATGTGGAGGTGCTGTTTTCACAGTTCTCCACTCTGGGCAGGTTAACTTGGGGATTTGTCAGCTTGGCCCATGCTGTTTCTGAGCTTATTTTCTCTTCTGATCTAACCCTAGAATTGGAAGAATGACAGTGTTCAGGACAAAAGCATACCAGGTGGTATGATTGGAATGGAAAGGAAAGTACAGAATCAATGTAGGCAGAGTGTTTCAAAGCTCTGGTGCAGTTGTTTCCTTGGCCTAGTTAAGCACAAGGCAAAGGAACTTCTGCTCCCTTTGCTAAGATTTTGTTGGGTCAGCCTCTAGCTAAGCATCTCTTGTACAGCTGAGCTCTACTGCTGTGACCAAGGGACTGGCCACAGCCACTCAAAATGGTAAGGAGAGGATGTAACAATAGCCTAAGTCGTTAGTGATTTCTTTTTTAAATTCTAGTTATCCTGATCACAAGTGGGATTGATGGCAAGTGGAGGCATGCATCTGTCCAAGGACTTGCCAAGATGGTCACACTCCTGCCTGTGAAGGATGTACCTGTGTCCCACACCTTGGCCTGCAGCAAGGTGTGATCCCAGCACCATTCTCAGGTAACAGGGGCTGCCCCCTCTCCACTTCCTTTCCTTGCTGGTCTCTCAAGCCCTGTTTTTAGAGGCGACACTGTCCATGCTGTCCCATGTCTCCTCCTCCATGGGACAAGTCCAGCCTCTTGAATTCTCTTTCCAGCCCCTCAATGAATAAGCAGCAGTATTTAAAGCCTTGACTCCCAGTAAGATCATATTGTTGCAGTGACTGCACTTGACTACAGCAAGGAGTGAGTACTACATGTTCCTCTCCCTTACACAATCCTTAATCTGCTCTTCCTTTCTCTTTTCAGATCCCTGCCTTCACTGTACTCTTGGCTGGGGAGCTGAACTCTCAGGACTCTTCTACTTTCTAATAGTGCAGCCTCAGCAGAGCAGACCTGGCTGAGGTCACAACAGGGTTGTGGCACATCACAAGCTCCAGAGCTGGCTCTGCTCCTCAGGAACTCCTTGGTTCTTCCCCCCAGCCCGAGTGATGTGTGAGGACACTTCTGAGAATGTGTGAGTGCATACCCAGGGGAAGTGGCTAAAGCACCACCCGTGGCACAGTCTTCAATATTGCATAGTTTTCATTCAGGAAAGGTCAGTGTTTTGGGATTAGGTGCCAAGCAAGAAACTCTGGAGCCCAGGCCCCATTTCTGTTCCCATTGCAGGCCCTGCCCTGCTGATGTGTGCAGGGCACTGACAGAGCCTTGCTGCTTTAAGCAGTTACCAGGCCTCCACTGTAATTGTGACTGCAATGGTGTCATCACTGCAAAGGTGGTTCAGGCTTGAACCTGGAGCAGTAATTTAGTGCCCAAATCCTGTGGTGTGTTTAACCTAGGCCATCTGGCTCAGCTGGCTGCAGCCTAAAGCCTGATTCATGTTTTTGTCAGACAGGTAACCCAGCAGTGCTGCAGTGTCACCAAGTGCCTGGACAAGGCAGATGTCCTCCCACAGACCCTCTGGGGAAGGGGATTTTGGCTTGCTACAGTGCTAACAGTCCTGGGCCCAGCTTCCCAAAAGCCTTAGCAGCAAACACTACCTGTGAGCTCTGTGTGCCTCAGACCAGGCAGCTCTGCCTGCCCCTGCTTGTGCCAAACCTCACTCATGTGCCACAGCAGTGACATGATCACAGCCTGGGCACGTGGTTACTGGTGATACCTCATGCCCCAGTTTCCTGGATAGGTGAGGAGGATGTCCTTGTTTGACTTAAGCTACTTATGCAATTCAAGTGGAAAATCTGTAAATAAAAGCTAAATTCAAGCTGTGCTGATGGCTTATTTATGCTGGTATCATCCTCTGCCCAGGAAAACATGGATGATTTTGTACTGACATACTTGACCCTCAGTCTGGGGACAGGGTTTGTGTCCCCTGTCCTGGCTGGGAGCTGCTGCTCCCTCTCCCTTGTGCTTTTTGAGGCTCTGAGTGCTGCAGGGATTGTTAAACCCACACACAGCAATCCCCCTGCCTTTCCCCAGAGTGGCAACATCAGCTTGTGCTGAATCTGTTCCATCTGTTCCCTCTCCCCGTGCGTGGCCTGGGTCAAACCACAGCTCACCCAGCCCCAGCACTGCTGGGACCCAGCACTGTCTGCAACAGACCCAGGAGCAGGAATATCACAAACATAACACTCCCTTGTCATTTCTGCTCAGAAACCTGGCACAAGGACTGCAGCTTAGGTTTGTCAGACTTGATAGTCGTATTTTAATACAATCATATAATTCCTGCTGCCTTGCACCATCCTTGTTGGCCTTGGATGGCAGGAGTGATGTGGCATGCAAACTAAACCTCTCCTAGTGCTTTTCCTTCCCCTTCCTGTTCTCCGCCACTCTTTGCCAGGATCCTCATTTGACAATTTAACCAGTAATTTCCTCTGCTGGGGGCTGAAATCATCCCTTTTCTTGTTTCCTGCCCTGTGGTTTGTGTCCTTTCCAACGTTCCAGCAGCCAGAATGACAGCCAGAGACTGAATTCCCTCTCACTGACCCTGCTTTCTTTCACAGAAAGCTCTCAGTGGCCACCTTGGCATTCCCCAGGAATCCTGTCCATGCCTGGCTGGCTATGAGAGCACTTCCCTGGGACCTGTCACATTGCCTGCCCTGGGGAATGGCTTTAGTGCCATGTTTTGTCAAGACACTGATCCCAGGCCCTCCAAAGCTTGCAGTGCTGAGGAACTGAGCCCCACAGGAATGGAAAAAAGGGAGATGAACACAGAAAAGTGCATTAGACTTGAATGAAGTGAGAGTCTCATGCAGGTTCATTTGAGCAAGAGATGTGCAACTGGCCTTAAGAAATAATTGTTAAGGAGGAAGAAAGAAGGGAATGGGAAGACTTAAAGAACCTGAAGTAATTTAAGATACTAAAATTAATGACTATTAGCTTCTGCTTTGGTGCTCATCCTAGTACCCTGAAGAACAATCAAGTATCTCAATTTTCTACTTAACCAGCGCACTCTCTCCATGCAAATAATGGAAAACCATTGATGCAGGAGCAGCACAAGATGCCCCTTCCATCCACCTCCATTGGAGAAGAAGACAGGAATGTGTGGGTGCCTCCAAGCTGGGAATGGACCAGATAATTCCTTTGCTGAGCTGGAGTCTGTGGGATGCTGCAGCAGGACTGGGGTTTGAGGTACTGATGTCCACACTGTGTGGTCCACTGCTGCCAGTATCAAGGTTTTGGAGTAAGCAATAGGATATTGAAAGAGATTGTCTGTCTTTGGCACAGGGATAAGAGCTATGTTTTATTAAGTAGTGGTAGTACAGTACAAAAATATGATTGTATGCAACCTTTGAAAAATATGGCACCACTGAAAGCAGCCTTTTCTCCTTTCATATGTTCCTTTCTTTTCATAAATATACATTGTAAATGCTTCTAACCATTTTTCTACCAGCATTGGGAAATGAAGTCTTTAAATCACAGTCAAGATAAAGGGCAGCCAACAGCCAAATTTGAATTATCTTTGCTTTGAAAAATGAAAGATCTTCAGAAGAACAAGAAAAAGCTTCCAGAAAAGTCTGAGGAAAACAAAGCCAAAAAGAAGTTCCTGTTTGGAGGATATGAGATTATTCAGCATTTGAAATTGTTTGATAGTTTTAGAAGAAAAGTCCCCCAGGCCTGACAACCAAAATCTTCTAGGACAGGAGATTTAGGGCACCACCAGAGCCATGGAGGGAATGACCTGAGTGTTCCCAGGCAGCTGGTGCCTGGCCAAGGCCAAGGCTGGGCTCTGCAGATTGCAGCAGCCCACGTGCTCACTGCTCTGTCCTGGACCCTCTTCAGCACCTCTCTGGCTTCCATGGCACTGGGATCCCAGAAGGATCAAGTATTAAAGTGGGAAAAACTCTGCTACCTGATCAAAATATAGTAAGCTGGTGGTTTTTTACTCTGGACAATTATATTTATGTGTAAGGAAAAAGAATTCCTGCTCACAAAGCATTAGGTCTCCAGCAACATCTGGAAATAATATTTGGGATAAAGCTCTCTTTTTCCAAAGAAGCCAAGTGAATTAGGACCCGATTTTCTCTCTTTACTGCTAGAAAACTGCTGTTTTATTCAGAGGTTTTGCTTCTGAGCCTCATTCTCAAGGAAAGATAACAATTATGGAGTTAAATTCCATCAATGTGCTGGGAAGTTACCCTGCAATATCAAACCTTGTGCATTCTTACTAATGAGCATAATTGCTGGCACCATTAAAGCAGCCTATTTTAAAGGTGAGATAAGTTATCAAAACGAGTTCTTTTGCAATACAGAGACTAAACACAACCTGGCACAGACGGAGGAAAATCTTTGATTTTGAAAACCACCCAGACCTGCCAGGGGGTCATGGGACAGTCTAAAGTCTTGTCTAGGTGGTGAAACTCTCTGGCAGGACATCCCTGGGACAGTTATCTCAGCACTGTCACACCTTCACCAGGATTCCCGTGTGTTTCCTGGTGGGGTGTGAGCTGCTCACTGTCACCTGATGGCCCAAATGGAAACTGGCAGCTTGAGGAAGAGAAAACAACACTGTTTATGGTGAGCATCAGATGTGCTCAGAGCTTGGCAAAGCTGAACTGGAGTCCAAGGCAAGCTGGTAAGAGTGTGATTCTTATTTCAGTCCCTAAACTTCCCTGGGCTCCACTGGCAGCTGAAGTATGGGCAAGAAAGAGCATCTCTCTGATGATTTTCAGTCCCTACATGCCTTATTCTGTGCCAGGAAGTGGCACTGGAGCTCCAGTGAAGCAGCAGCTGTGACATAACTGCATCTGCACCCAGGAGGTCCAGGATGAACACGGGATTCTCCTTTGTACAGCTGGAGCAGAATGAAGTGGGGTGGAAATGTCTTCTTCCTCCTTGCTCTGCTCCTGCCCTTGGTGTTTGGGTTTGATGTAGGACCAAAGCTCAGCTAGGTGGGAAGATGGGGCACAGGATTTGTTCACCTACAGGCAGCTCCTCTAGGAAGGAGCCCTGCAGCCCTGGAGAGCCAGCCCAGGTACCCTGGGGGGACAGAAGGTGTGTGAGCCATGGCCAGATTGCCCCACTCCGAAGTGCAAGGTCCAGGCAGCGAGGAAGCAGGATGCTTTTACCCAAATGACAGCAATTTGAGGTCATTCACCTGCATGAGGAAGGAGCTGTGGTATGTGGGCTGCCAAGCCTCTGCTGTGCTGCCGGGCAGGAAGGAAATTCCCTGGATTTGCCTTTCATCTCAGACAAGGACACGGCGGCGTTTGAATCAATCACAAACCGCAGCTGGCACAGCCGGCCCTGCGCACGCGGGGAGAGTTCAATAATTCAGCACAAACCCAGAGCCAGCAGCAGACTTGGGCTCCAGCCAAGGCTCGGGATGCTGCCCCAGCATCAAACAATGCCTCTGCCTGGGAAAGCACCGTCTGCCAGGGGAAGGAGGAATCCTCAGTCCACAGGATTTCTGTGCTCCAGTGCAGGGAAAGGGCTGATGTGCTGGCTCGTGCTCCCACTGTGTGACCCGATGACCTGTCCCTGTCTCAGCAGTACAAAGGGACTCAGAAAACTGGGTGGCCTTTGCCAAAATATTGGCCCTAGTCCACACAGTGACTGCTGTGGTTTTAATCTTTTTTCCTCCCTTTTTTCCTCTATTTTTGTCCTTTCTTCCTTTCTTTCTTTCCTTTTTTTTTTTTTTTTTTTTTTTTTCCTCTTAAACTAAAGTGGTTTTAGTGCTGGTGAAAGGTGCTGAATGGCAGCCTTGGAGATGGATGTCCCTCTACTCAGCCACAGCAAGCCCTGCTGTTTTCTCTGGTGTTTCTCCTCCTGGCATCATCCCTGTGTAGGACAGATCCCAGGTTCCCTTGTCCTCTCACCTACTTCTTTCTGTGCTGGTTGGGACACCCATGGCTAAGCATGACTTCACCCTCCCATCCCAGGCTTGGGTGCTGCTGACCTGGGCCAGGCTGGACCCCAGGGCACTTTGCTGTGAGCTATTCCAGCCTCTGCAGGAGGGAGCTGTGTGCTCCCACAGCAGATCCCCAGCCCAGCTCAGCCCTGCTCCCACCCTGAGCAGGAGAGGGAGGACAGTGGATGCACCCCATGGGTGCCACTTTTCTCTCTGCCTTCTATTGGTGCCTAACCCAGAGCTGACCCCAAGTGCTTCAGTGCAGACTGATTGTCTCTTCCTTGCTGCTCTCTTTCACCTCTCTCCTTAAAGTGCAAACGAACACAACAGAGTCACCCTGGGTGCTGCAGCCAGCTCACACCCAGGGGCCCAGAGGGACAAGTGGGACATCAAGCCCTTGGCTTGCCCACAGGCCCCAAGCCAGGCTTTCAAGTAACACCCTAGAGGTGTTTGGCACATTTCTCCCCACCCCAAACACCGATGCCAACCTGTGCTACCTCATGGGCAAAGAGAAACCCCTTTGCTCACCCCTTCCCACCTCCCTCCCCCCTGTCCCCAACCCCACCAAGCTGTGGCAGCCAGCCCCCTCTCTCTGCCAGGCAGCAAAGAGGGGCAAAGCAGCCTGCTCCATCCTCCCATCCGTGTTCAAGGTAAAATGCAGCACCAAAATAGATACAAAAATAGAATTTTGGGTCCATTGGCCCAGCTTCACTATTAATATAACTGCTATGAAATGTCAGAAAATAAAAGCTGCTCTCTCTATACACACCTGCCCCCCACCCCCCTCACTGACAGTATTGCCACACGCCCGGTCCTGTCAAAACAAGGCATCAAGATGCCTGTTTTCTCTACATTTTAAATACAATTGCTTCCATCCCCCCATTGTAAACAAACATGGCAGAAAGGGGTTTGGAAAAACAAAACAGAACAAACAAACAAAGCTATTTTAAAAATCCTTCATCGTTTCTAGTGCTCTGAATAATATTTCTGCCTCCTGGGACTTGAATCCTGCCAGGCTGTTTAAAAGGACAGAAGGTACCTGTGATTTCTGATGAAGGCCCTGATGTCCTTCTCGGGTTTCCTTTGGATGCTCTCTGGTGGAGATGAGAGAGATAATGTATTTGCTTTCCTCTATGCAAAAGTCACAAAGTGTTTGATCGGCAAACCCGTGACTAAAAAACGTAAATATGTAAAATAAACAGCAATCCACAGCCTCTTTCTTAAGTTTCCCCATCTATCCAGTTTTCAAAGTGCAAAACCTAGAGAAGCACAGAATTATTTTCTTGAGGTGTTTTTCCCTTTTTGTTAGGGCTTTTCCCCCCCGCGTGCTTGACTGGAATGGCCTTTCTATAGCAAAAGTCAGATAAAGCGTAATTGCAGTAGTTTCTGCACATGGAATCATGAATCATTCCAGTGACTTGAGAATCTAAGCTGTTAATAGGCTAAAAAAAGGATTTGTGTTTGTCGGTCTTTTTTTTTTTGTTTTGTTTTCTTTTTGCATTATAATTAAGCATGAATATATATTACTATATTACACTGCTTGGATTGCTGAAGCAATCCACATCTTCCTATGCTGTAAAACTAACTCCCACCCTGCGCTCCCCGGATCAAGAGCTTCTTTTCTCCTCCCTGTGCCAGACACCCTCAGTTCACATGATTAAAACTCCCTCCCAGCCCCCCTCCCCTTTTTTTTTTGTTTTTTTTTTTTAAGTAGATATTGCCGCATTCTTAAATTCATGCATTGCTGCATTGCTATTGCACATATATAAAGGATTGCTCACTCCCTCCCGGCTGCTCCCCTCCCCTCACTGGTTGTGCACGTCCTCTCTGCGGACTATCTTGTAGATGATCCAGTAGAAGATGTTGAAGATGAGGAAGGCCATGGGGAAGCCGATGCGGGAGATCTTGTCGATTTTCTTGGCTCTCTGGATGAAGAGCTTCCTCATCTCCTCGGGCGAGCGCGACGGCGGCGGCACCGGGTTGGCCGTGTTGTTGTTGTTGGCTCCCTTGACAGAGATGCCGTCCTTGGCTTGCAGGCAAGCTGGCCCCATCCCGTAGGCGGTGAAGTTGAACCTGCCTTCACCAGCTTCGTCCTCCTGGAACAGATTGAGCATGGGACTCTACTTAAAATGAGATATAGACATTGCACCCTCGCTATAAGGCTCTCCGCTGACAGCGTCCTGCTCTGCTGAAAGATGTTCCCACCGAGCCCCGGCACCCTTGGGCAAACCCCTGCTCTTGGGAGATCAGCCTTATAGAGGGGTGCCAGCTGTGTGATGCACAGATGCAAATCAGGGGATCCAGGCACCCCGTGGAGAACAGCACTGACTTCCACCCCATGGAGGTCTTTGACCTATTGGAGGGTTTGTGGCACTGCTTTCATTTTTCCAATTGCATCCCCTGTTTTGCTTCTGCCTCTCCCTACCCCCCCACCTCCTATCAGCACCTTCTTTGCTTTGCCTGTGCAGTTTCAGCTTGCCCAGAAGGAGTGGGCTCCATGTAACTCATGTAGCCAAAGCTGCAGCTGCTTCCTACAGAGTTACATGGATGTGCAAGAGCCAGGAGCTGTCCAGGAAAAGAGCTCTGCAGGCAGCGTGCAACCAGCCCTCACTCGCCTGCCCACGGCACCCCACAGCCATCCCCAGGAGCCAACTTTTAGGTGAGGAACTCAAGTGCCCTTCTGTGGGTCAATAGAAAGACATGGCTGCTTGTGGTAGTGCTAATTATTGGGAAAAAAATATAATTTGTGTTCTAATTTAAAGGGAAACAGTGTTGCTGTCTGGGTTTTTTGGTGAAAGCTTTGCTGGAATCCCAGAATGATTTAGCCCTATTTTATTGAGCACAGGGATGTAATGACAGGGAAAACTAAGTTTGGTCCAAGTAATTCAATCAGTTATTTGCAGAGGCAGAGTTAGAATCTCAGGTCTCTTGACTTCAGGTCACTGAGGCTAATTGTAGAGCAACAGCCCTAATTAGTCATTAACAGAGGCTGATCCATGCTGTGTCCCCCAACACTGACCTAGCAGCCCCCTCCCTTGTAGCTGCCTGCCCACTGTGCCCTGCTGACCCTTGCCCTGTCCTTTGAAGAGTCTTTTCTGGATGGCCCCTGCATCCCATGGGCAGCTGCATGGGATGAGGAGCAGGACACAGAGGACACTGCCATATCCGAGCAAAACAAAATTACCCAAAAAAAATCAACATCTGGTTTTCTGTGATACTCAGAGGTTATGGACCTTCTCATCGCATCTGTAATGCAGGGGTTCAGGTAAAACTGCCTCTGCTCTTTTCCCATTGCACAAACATGTCTGGCTTAACCTAAACCACTTGATCCTTAATTTACTGAATTTTTTAATATTTTCATTGCTGAGGGCCCACTGGCTGTGACTTTGTTTTGGCCACTGTGGCTTTGTTTTGGTGAGTGGCATACCAGGGTTAGAGAAGACAATAGTGCCTTTTTCAAGGTGCCATGCCAAAGGAGAAAGGCAAAGATCACCAGCCACGCAGGGAAATGTTTCCAAATGCACTCCATGTGGGTCTGATGATGGTGTCATGTTAACCAGACTGCAATATCTCTTTTTTTTTTGCCTGGTGTGTCATGCCTAAACCAGTCAGAGCCACCCAGACAAGTCAGGACATCAGGACAGAGCAATTAGTGCCTTTGGCAGCTGCATTAGCCCATTTACATATTAGCAGTCAGCTTAGTTTTCTGATGAGCCTGCAAACCTTGTTCATTTAGCTTTTGCAAGTGTTTTTGTTTATGCTTTGCTCCAATTAAATAGCTGTGAGATTGAGCAGGGACTGTGCTAACAGCCTTGTGTTGAATGGAACAGCTCTCCAAATATCTCTTAAACTAGTCTCTGTATTAGTGGCTTTATTTTCCTTCTTACTGTTTTATCAACAGACTGATCTGCATACAACAGCACAGATCCAGAGACAGGATGCCTGAATCTAGATGAAGAGATAAATGTACCGTGGAGGCATCCATGTGGGTGGCTTTAGCTCTGCCCCTGTTCAGCTGCATCTTCTGAACCAAAGCCTTGTTGACTTTGGGATGGCAGAGCCCTGTTCTGGTCAAACACAATCAGTGGGTGCTGAGGGTCTCATCTGTTATTTCTTTTCCTTTGCATTTGTCCAACACTTTTCATCCCTGGTCCTGACTGGGTTGAGCACAAATGAACAATGATCTCCTGTTCTGCAGATAGGATGACTGAAGCAGAGAGAGGCAAATCTAGAAAAATGCAGGGATTCCTGTTCCTCAAACCCCACTTCCTCCTGGAATGGTGGCAGTTCTGCAAGCATACACTGAGAACTGCTGCAGGACAGGCTGGACCCTGGGAAAGACTTTTCATGGCTGGGACAGTGAAACAATGGAATGGGAGAAGGTTACTGGGTGGGATGGATCATGGAAAGTAGACAAAAACCTATAAGGAATATTTAAGGCAGAGCTTGGTAATCACCTACAGGCTTGCTTGAGATTTGCATCAGCAAAATTGTCTTTGGTTTTTCTCTCCTAGAAAATGTACTGGATTCTAATGCTGTTCTGAGGGCAGCCTCTCAGGCCTGGTGCTGAAATTTTGCTAACCCCTTTCCTGGTTCTACCAGTTATATAGGGACAATTTTAAGTGCCTTTGGCCTCGTTATCACAGCCACCTTTATGTTTCTTTGTAATGTGATGTGAAGTGCTTGCTGTTGGAGCCCAGGCTGGGGAGCTGTCGGAGCTGCGTGCATGCTCAGATTGGGGTTGGGATCAGCCACGGCAGGTAAGCATGGAGCAGGCTAAGGCTCAGAATAAAGCTCTTTCCTTCCAGGAGGAGCTTGCAGTCAGTCTGAGAAGCAGATGCTTTTGAACATGGAGAAGGCAGAGACAAAAGAGGTGTCACTTACCTCTGGGCTGCTGCAGGCTGTTGTGTTGGGCGTGCTGCTCTCTGATAGACAGACAGACACCCCTCACACTGCCCTGCCTGCCTGCCCCAGCCCTGGCTGCAGCTTCTGGGCAGGAGAACTCACCCCAGAACATTGCTGTGTGACACTTGTCCTTTTGAGAACAACCCTTTTGGCTAGCAAAACCCAGCTTGCTGGACTCCTGGGCTCAGCAGGCTGTTAGAACAGGCACAATCCATTGAGCCAGCTCTGCTTTGTGGTGTGTGAGCCTCCTTAACATCTGAACAGACAGTGGGGATTCCCTGAGGGCTAGAGGCTTGGTAGTGTTGACCATGGTGTTCTGCTGGGACAGATTTCACTGTGTACTCCATGCTTTATGTATTACCTTATGATGCCTCCTCTTCCTCCTGAACCTGAGCAGCTCTTTGTGCTGCCGGGACACGAAGTTGACAGCAGCATATTCCAGAAGGGCAGAGAACACAAACAGCAAGCACACAGCCATCCAGATGTCTATGGCCTTCACATAGGACACCTAGAAGTCAGAAGAAGAGACAAAAATGGGGTGGCTTCCTTACCCAAATGCATTTTTACTTGGTGTTTTACATGGCTGACATGTGTTCTTGGACACCAGAATCTCACTCATTTAACATGTGTTACCAGGTCACTGAAACTCCTCACAGGCTCTTAAGTAGCAACAATTCCACAGCTTTTAATTTATTCAGTCCTTGATTGTGATTGTTTATATGCAAGGAAAACAGTAATCCACCATACCAGAAACCCTCCATAAAGGTAAATTCAGCACTGTTATAAAAGTAGGATGATCAAGTGACTTAAAAGCTAAAATGTAGAGTGCATATCCATGTGTGGTTGTTGCAGGGGTTTGTAGGGTACAGAGCTCCTGGTTACTGGGAGTTGTGGTGAGTGCTGAATCTTAGGAGAAGTTCTCCTGCTAGTCATAGAGAATTTAACATTTTTTCATGATGTGCCTGGAATTTGCTCTGCTTGTCCTTACCCAGGAATTATGCAAAGGCAGCAGGAGGATCTGTGTAGGGATTTCCTGAGATGTGGTCCCTAAGAGGGGCACGATTTTCCTGGTGTTCCAAGGTGCTCCCTACCTTGGGCAGTGATGCTCGGGAGCCAGAGCTCTGCGTGGTCATGGTGAGCACGGTGGTGATCCCCAGCCCCACGCGAGCAGGTGCAGCATCCATGTTGATCCAGAAGGAGATCCAGGACAGGATGACAATGAGAAGGCTGGGGATGTACATCTGGATCAGGTAATAGCCCATCTGCCTCTCCAGGTGGAAACGAGCTTCTATACAGGTGAACTTGCCTGGGGAGGATGGGAGATACAGGGGAGGTTATTGGGAAGGCACAGTGAGCCTCCTGTTCTCAGCCAGTGTCTGGGGATTTTCCTTTTCCTTGTGTTGCCTAAACCAGGGTCTTTTTAGGGGAGGAAATGAACAGCTGTCACCCAGGGCATATAGTGATAGAACAAAGAGGAATGGCTTCAAACTGAAAGAGACAAGGTTTAGATTAGATATTAGGAAGAAATTCTTCCCTGTGAGGGTGAGGAAGCCCTGGCACAGGTTGCTCAGAGAAGCTGTCACTGCCCAATCCATGGAAGTGTTCAAGGCCACGTTGGACAGGGCTTGGAGCAACCTGGGACAGTGAAAAGTGTCCCTACCCATGGCAGGGCATTGGAGCAAAATGGTCTTTAAGGTCCCTTCCAAGCCAAACCATTCCAGGATTCTATGAACATTAATATAGCAAAGAAAGCCCTTTGGCAGTATGTCCTTTGTCACTTAAATTTCAAAGACAAAAGAAGGTTCTAGGAGAGAAAATCCCAACCAAACACCCTTGAATTGATGCAGTTGTTATCGGGGACAAGAGGATTTTGCACATTTATGTCCGTTAGCCTTTCAATTGCTGTATGTGTTTCCACATGTCTGTCGTCTGTGGAAGTGTAGGACAAGGCCAGAGTGCCATCAGACACAGCAAGAGACTGGCAAATGCATAATCCTGAATTCCTCTCCACTGAACCCCTCAGTTAAGGGTTAACATCACTGACCTGTGTTGTAGTGCTTCGTGCAGTATCTCAAGTCTTTTTCTTCTTTGAGGATAAACTGAGGCAGTGTCAGCCCGTCAGCAACTTGCACTGCTCCTTTTTCTTGCCACTCAAATATGAGATCATTCATTGTGTATCCAACTGTTGAGAGGAAGGGACAAATGTCACATGAATCACATTAAATACTGATCTGGAAAGGGGCAGTGTTGCAGAAGACAGCTTGGAGGCAGGGGGCATCCTGGCCTTCCCTGACAGTGCTGTCATGAATGGGATTTGGGTCGAGGCAAAACTGCTTGTTCATGTGGGAAGAGCCAGGGCAGCCACCTCCACCGGAGCTGCAATGGATTTTCTGCAATAAATAACACTTTTTTCTTCAATTTGGCTTGCTGAACTGTTTTCTACTGTTTCAAACTTGACTGTTTTCTCTGGAAGGAGCTCATCATCTTTCCCTCCTTTGGGATAAGCAACATGTACAAGTGGCAGATGTTCATCCAGAGAGAAAAAATCCCACTTGCAGCTGAAAGCACTTTCACCTCTCCTGCAAAGTGAAAGGCCAATGTAATCACAAGCAAGCCAGGGCTCCTCACATGGGATCTTGTGAGGTTTGGCTTCTCTAGCAAACGTCACACAGGCTGAATGAATGGAAAACCCTAAGCTGGAGGTTCTCCAGTGAAGGCTGGGCTGGGGATGGGCTGCAGCTGGGAAAGGAGAGGGCAGGGAGAGCAGCAGGGAAAGGAGGCTGTCTCCTCTCTGAAATGTGCACAGGACTCACAGCTCTCCAGCTGCATGATGCACGTCTGGACATCCATGGGGAAGTTCTTAAGGTCCATGGGGCAGGCCAGAGTCAGCGTGATCCTGAGGAGAGAGGAGAGAACAGGGGATGGCAAACAGTGGCACTGCTGGGGGCTGAGCTCGGGGAATGACAGGTCATCCACCTCTTCCTGCCTGTGCTCTCACTCAGGTGCTGGACAGCATTTGAAATGCTGAACATTTGGGTCTGTGACCCCATTCCCATTCTCGTTTCATTGCAGAGCTCCCTCACAAACAGCTCTGCTGCTTTTCCTGTCCTGCCTCAGGCTGGGTGAGCAGAAAGCCCAAGCCCACTCTCTGGAACCCCCAGAGGCATTTCTAGAGACTGGCACTGTTTGTAAATCTCTGAACAGAACATTCGTGTGTGATAAAAAAAAAAAAAAACACCAAAAAGAAGTTTGATCAAGATCATATGTTTGTGTGTGGGGAAAGAAATACTTCACTGGGATTTTCTGCAGGGAAAATGCCTTGTGCTAAGCCAATATGAACTCCTGCACCTTCCTGAATTCCTGCAGAGCCCTTGAGACCTCTATTTTTCGTCTCCATTTTCCACTAGGTGCAGGCTGTATTTTCTGTGTTATATTGCTGTGCTGGCCTGTACCATGATCTGTGCTTAAAATGTTTGGTTGGTTCAACAAGCTGATACTAAATGATTTGCTCCAGATAGTTAGACTTGAGTTATTTGGTTTGATAATGTTGAAAATGCTGTTCCCTGAAGTGTTTAGGGTTTTCAGCTTTTTGCCTTGATGTAGAAATAGCAGAGTTACCCAGGGGACAGAAATTGAATTTTTCTATCATCAGACCTACAAGAAACTTATCAGGATGGAAAGATACTTTAATTTAAAATCGTATGTTGTTAGAAATTCTCAGCTGGAGTTTGGAGGCATGTTGGGACAGAAGATGTGACAAAGTCCACCTTCTTGTAAATGCCTTGCCTGGAGTTTGATTATTGCTAGTAGTAGCAAAAAAACAGTTAGAAAAGGGCACAGTACCTCATAGAGATTTTTCTTTTTAAAGAGAAAGACTCTTTCTCCTTCTGGAAACTCTTTGAATTTACAGTGTGCTCTTGTTTCTTTTTAATTTTCACAGGAAAATGTACTTGTAAAGAAACCTATATTTTCATTCAGAGATGAGCGAGATAGAAAAGTTGTTCTTTTAAACAAGAACTGAAATATTTTCAGGTTTTTGCCTTGAAAATGGTGATTTTTCCATGTTTTCTGCTGAGTCATTGCTCTGTTGGCAGAGCAGCCCCAGGGCTGGGGTACCCTGTGCCCCTCTGTGCCCCTGCAGGAACAGGACCCTGTGTCCTGCTCACTGCCAAGCTGCTGCTGTTGGTTTTGCTCCCTGCCTGGTTTTAAACATGAAGAACTTTGAGATTTCCTCATTCAGCCAACACACACAGCAATTCTCTTGTTGTTTTGGCCATCAGGGATCTGGTCTTCAGGCTGGAAGCACTTTGGTGTTTGATGGAGGCCATCTACTTTGCAGCTTATTGTTATTATTAAGCTGCTTATTTCCCATTTTACAGCTCCACACTGCTTTTCCTTCCCATCGCTGCCACTGGGAGCTGCAGTGTGAGATGGGGTGTGTGTCCCATAGCCAAATCTACCTTACACATGAGGTGGAAAAGTCTTCAATATAGAGTTAAAGCTTCCCAGTCTAAGCCCGTGAAGTTTGATCTTAATTTCATTGGTTTAAATAAAGTGTGAATGGGATTGGAAGTGAAGGGTGGGGGATAAGGTTGATTTCCTGTGGGAAATTCAGTGCAATTAGTTCAATTTTGCTGATGGATTCTTGGATCTAGTAATAAAGGGATAACTGGGAACAACCAGGCTGAGACAAAGCCATGGGGCTCTACTTAGCATTTTCCATGATTTTTACTTTTTTTAAATCAGGAAATGCTGCAGCTTTGAAAACAGAGTGTTCATGAGCTTCTATTGGTTTTCACACAGCACAGCTGGTTTTAGCTTGCACTAACATAAGTAATTTTACATTAGGGATGTTAAGGAATCTGCTCCAAGCAGAAGTCCTTGAACTGAACAAGCTAAAGATGAGTTGAATTCCATGCCAGACCAATCCTCTGCCTCAATATGCTTTAGCAGAGGTCCCTTTTAAACACATTGCTTCATCACTGCTAATTGAATGATCTCACACCTTAAAACCCCCTAAATTTCTCTTTTCCACCAGCATGCCCAAAGGTTTGAGTGACCTTGGTGGAGTCAGCTCACCTGATGCTATAGAGGACGTTGCCGTTCCGGGAGATCCTCAGCAGCTTGTTGTCTGTGGTGATCTCATGGAAATGGGCCCCTTTCTCGTTGGCAAAGAACAGGTCGGGCTTCCAGATGGAGTCCAGCATGGAGGGGTCCAGGTCCAGGGAGTCGTCGGGGTACTCGTTGTAGGCCAGCCGGGGGTCGTTCCACTGCTGCCGCAGGAAGATGTTCACCCTGTAATCCTGCACACAGACACACAGCAGGGCTCAGGGCAGGCTCAGGGTGCTGGCACATGGGGAGCACACACTAAAACAATCCTAAAATGAGCCAGACCACGTCCAGGCCTATGGTTCCCAAGCTATGCCAAGTGGTTTTGGTATTATTCCTCAAGAAACTGCTTTAATTTTTAGCTTCGTAGCTTATAGCTATGGCGTAGCATGAGCTGCTGCCTGCCTGTCCCTGCATCCCTCTGCTACAGCAATTGTCAGCTGTGTGGGAAGGGCCAGGACCTCTCTGTCTGGACCCTGGGGCTGCAGAGAACAGGACCAGCTGTGCAGAGCAGAATGGCCACTGTCAGCAAGAGGATGTTCCAGGGGCGTAAGTGAGGAAAGAAACTGAACCAGCTTCCTTGCAGTGCTGAACTGTCCCACATTGTGACTATCTGTAGTTCCCCAGCACTGGGAAAGGAGAAGGCACAGTGAGAGATATTGTCCATGAAAGAAAAATTCCCTGTGTGTGTGCTAATGCAAGGATAACTCAGATGAGCCGATGGGAGCAGCTGCCCTGGTTAGAGTTTATGAGCAGGAGAGGGATTTGCATGAAGTCTGCTCTCCTAATCCTGAGTGTTCTGGGTTTCCCCCCTCTAATGTCAAAATGCCATAAAGGCAACAGATTTTATAGCGTGACCATCTTCCTTAATTGAAGGTAGTCCCTCAGCACTATGCAAAATTATACTTTCTTCATAACCATGAGTCTGACAGCTCCCCTAAATTCCCCAGGTCAAGGCTGGCTGCTGAGGCTCAGTTCAGACACTACTGGAAAATCAGGGGCTGTTTCTCTTCTCCCTGTCTGGCCAACAGCTTCCCATGCTCCTTTTCTTCTGACTTTCACATAAGAAAGTGAGCCAACAAATTGAAATGGGGAGAGGATGTGCCAGCTATCAGGAGAGGGGTGAAAGCTCCACAACCATAAATTAATTGACATTTTCTAAGTATAGAGGCAGACTGTGTCTGAAGAGCAGCATATAATAAACCAATTCCACTGCCCAGGCCCGAATGAATAGTCCTCCTCATGATTAAGGGTTTATTTGCTGCCTTTCTAATATAAATGTACTTTGAAGACTTTTATTAGGACACAGTTAATGGAGGGTGTCTGATGTGCTTGCTGGTGTCTGATACCTGCTGCAGGCACCCGGTGAGAGGCTCCCTTCCCTCTGCCACCAGCTCTGTTCTTTCCAGCTGGAGAACACTGAGCTCTGCAGTTGAAGGGTGCCTGTATAGGAGAGACTTTCTGATGCTGCTGCCTCAAGAGCTCACTTGACTGTGAACCTACAGCCTCCTGTCAACAAGGACACAACTCTCGTGGTGTCCAGTGGCACTGGAGGTTTGGGAGAGGATGTTGCAGCAAGGTAGAATAATCATAAAGAAAGGTTTCATAAAATCAAGCCTGCTCTCCTGGAATCAGTGGCTGGCCTTGTCAAAGCCAGCACTTTGCAAGTTCTCATGTGAAAGCAATTCTGGTAGAGTAATTTGTTAACATAATCTATTCCTGCGTAAAAACAACCTGCATAAACTGTTTGTACACCTTTAGATAGAAAAATGAAAACAGTCTCTCACAAACAACTGTCCCTGCATGTAGACACTGAGTCTGAGTGCCCAGTCAATACAGGATAACAACTAGTTACTAACCAATAAAAGTAATTGGCAGGAAAGCTCCTGACCAATTGGAGTCCCACACTGTCTGTAGAACTCTATAAAAAGGAGTTATTCAATAAAGAATAGCATTTTTCCATGCGAAGAAAATGGAGTCCCATGTGATATATTCCCATAAGAGGATTGTGTGGGGTGCTCTGCGTTTTGGACAAGGCACTTCTAGCCAAGCACATGGTCTGGAGTCTGTTTCAGGCCACTTGGTGCCATCTGCACCCTCAGAGCACAAGAGCTGCTAATGACATTAATGATTGTGACAACAGCAAATGAACCAGGGACTTGACGCTAAAAGGAGCAGACCTCTGAACACAAAAAAGAGTTGCAGCACTCTTTGCTTCTGCTGATATTCCAAGTGTCACCTTCACGAGTCCTAGTGCATCCCTCTGACTTAATTATTCATCTCTGTCGACCCTGGATAATGTGTCTGGAGGAAATGTGTATAGCTGGGGACAGCTGGGGACCAGGGTCTCAGCACAAGCCTGAATAAGGAAAGGAGCCATGAATTCCCATTTTCCACAGCAGCAGCTCTCAGAGCTACCTGTATATTTTCAATTCTCCCTTTTCTGTGCATCAAGATCTGCAGCCATTACAGTCAGGGGAAATCAATGTCACTGACCTAATAGGTAGAAAGCAAAAGGTTGTTTTGCTTATTCAGCTACAAATAAGCTGGATGCTAGCAGGTCAGCTCCAGTTTGGGACTTCTGTCATGTACAACACAAATTAAACTCATGTTTGGAAGAAACTTCAGTGGTAGCTGCCCAGAAGTGTGCTCAGCCTGATGGAGAAGTAGAAGGGGGGAGGGAATGGAGCCAAATTCCCTCCAACAGCCTGAGTTACTGCAGGTAAGCTTTGTTGATGGAGCAAATTCACTGCTTCAGCTCCAAAACTTGCTAAAAGAGTAGCAAAGGGTGACAGGAGGTGCTGGATGGTTTGTGCTGCCACCACAGCAACAGACCACAGGCAGAATGATATCCATAGTCTTTGTAACCATGAGGAGGAATCTTAATTAAACACTGGTGGGCCAAATGAAAATTAACTTTTCACAGTGGGTGGGTGTGAGAAGGCCCCTCCTAATTCACCTCTAGAGTGACAGTGTCCTGTCCTCAGGTCCTGCTGGGAACAGTGCAGGGGCACCTTGTGAATGTGTGGTGGGAGAAACTGCACCACGTCCACCCCAGGGATGTGCAGCAGTGTGGGGAGTAACTCTGGTTTGTTTTACTGTGTTCCTCCTTTGGAGACAAGTGTTTGTTGTGGGTCTTTTTTGTTTTGGAATACAGAAAACAAGGCTTTAACTTTGTGATATAAAAAGGGCAAGGACGAAGAAACACGAAACATGCACTGAATGCAATTCTCTGGCTTTGCCATTTCAGGGCATTAATATTTTACGTCTGTGTGTGCATTTATGCAGATCTTCCTACTCAGGGAGTTTACTCCACAGTCCTGGCCTGCTCACTGAGAGCGTGGTTTTCTCCCAGATGCCTTTGCCCTCATGTCATTGCACTGCAGTGTTGAAGGCTCTGAGCAGCCTTTTAGGTTCCTTGTGTCGAGCCTCATTTGAACATCGATGTAAAACCAAGCACTGTGACTGCAAACTGGATATGGCACTGCCTGGGGAGCCAGCAGGAGGCATGGAGAGCAGTCAGGGTATGTCTGTGCTGTGACACAGGCTAAGAGAAGGGTTACAGTGCTCTGCACCAGCTGAGCATCCTCTGTCTGTCCTCAGCATTGCAGTCAGGCTGAGGGGTGATGAGCCAAGCAACACTCATTCCTTGGCTACCTGGAGAGATGCAGCATTTCTCCTGGATGCTGTATAGGACATCTTAATTAGCATCTCCAACAAGTTCACAGTTATTCCTAAATGATGGACAGCACTGGCCAATTTCTGATGTGAACTTTCAAGCAAAGAAAGATGTTTGACTGGGGCTGCAAACTTGGCAAAAAAAAAAAGTAAAAATCTCTCTCTCCATATCCTCCTTATCCCTCACATTGCTCATTTGTGTGCCCATCACATCCAGGCATTGATTATCTTGTGCAGCCTGCTCCTCTGGCTGGCTGGGGAGAGGGGAGCAGCAGCTCTGTGCAGGGAAGGCATTCAGGAGCTTTGCAATTTGGCACAAAGGCATTTTACTCCCAAGAGGGAAATGACACAAGGCAGGAAGAGAATAACTGGAGTGATCAAAGTAGTTCAATTTGATAATGCTGGAATGAAATTCTGCTTGGTGACCTCGCAAGGAGACAAGGAAACAGAAGATCATTTGAGACCTTCCCTTGCCAGGATCCTAGAGCCTTGACATCTCTGCTGAAAGCAGAGGAGGCTGCAGGCAGAGCTGGGCAGAAAGGATGGAGCCCCTCAGGACAATCCTTAGGTTTTCCCTCCTGACTCAGGGGCCCTGTCAGAGCAGCCTCTGCACTGAACAGTTCTGGGGAGAGATTTCCCCGTTGATAAATTCACATTTTGCTGGTGAGAGACTGATGTCCTTCAGAAGGGGATTCTGGGACCCCACCAGAGCACGAGGGGCTTTGTTGGCATTGAGTTAATTCTCTAGAATGGGAATGAACAAACACTTTGAAGGCAACCTGCCTTGTCAAGGAGCACTACAACAGACTGCAAGAACACCAAGGAGCAGCCCTAGGAAGGTTGAATAGCCAAGTAGCCAATTTGAAAGCAGTGTGAAGCCACACCCGGGCAAGGGAGGAGGAGTCTGTATCAGGGAAGGGCCGGCACCTGGGGAGGGGTGGGAGCAGTACCCTGCTGCTCAATAAGTGTGGGCATTTTTATGCTAGAACCCACACAAGGAAAGTTTTTCTGTGTCTTCCTCCAAAAAGTGGGGATTATATCTCTCTGAGCCATCAGGACTGCTGGGATGTGAGCTGTAGCCAACATCCAGGATTGCAAATGTAGGTATTTAGTACTGAAGTTTTGTTTTTCAACTTGAGGGGGTTTTGTGCCCTTGTATTTGAGCTGCACAGTCCAATTTTATGGCTTCTTTTTGTTTTTTTCTTTTCCCCCTCCTTTCTCCATTAGTGCACAGACACACTCCAATCATGGACAGCTGGAACACTGCAGGTCTAAACACTGAGATGGCAGCAGACTGTGAGTAGCTGTGAAAACCTTTTCATTTTGTGTTTTGTGACTTGTTAGGTGCTTATCATCTCTGTGGGACTGATGGTTGGGTTTAAGAATGACTGACTGCAGGGAATTTTGCTCAAAACCTAACTTTTGCGATGAGCTTTGTGAATTGAAACTCTGTGCATTGAAACTCATATCTTTTGCTGATTTTGGAGTGAGTGGGATCAGTATTAAATGTGGGACCCAAGTTCTTCATCAGAACCTCTGTTGTACTGGGGTTTGTGAGTCTTGATTGAATTTCTTGGTCTGCTTTGCTTTGTTTTCTTGTTGGGAATCTCGTGTGCAGATGTCTCTGAACAAGCATTTAACATTTGGACAGTTGCAGCCTCCAGCTCCTCCTGTCCCCAGGAGATGCTGGGAGCTCAGTTGTGGCTGTGCTGCAGCTGGCTGGAAGGTCACATTTGCTTTGCTCTTTTCAGATGAGATAACTATGGCATGAAAGCAGCAAAAATGAATTTGCATATTTACACTGTGTCTAAGGGAGGCTGTGCTGGCTCTTCTGTGATTTTTTCTTTCTTTTTCAGTCTCTTTGCTGTGTGTGGGTCATTTTTAAAAGAAGAGTCTAGAAAAGCCCATCCTGAGTCCAGCTGCTAACATTGCTAGGTGATGATATAAAAATGTATAAAAAGCCAGTAGAAGGCCACAAAACTGCAGCTTCCACTGGAAGAGTGAGCAAGGACACCTCTTAATTTCAAGTTTGCTGTTATAGCAGGGAATTTGTTAATGAAATGTTCAGATAATCCTATCAGTTGCCTCATGCCTCAAAGAAAAGCCAAAGCTGGTGCAGTTTATTCACTTAAACCCAAGACCTGTTCCCAAGGTGCTTCACTTCTGTTTATTTGGAATCAGGAATTTCTCCATTTGCTATAGGTTTCATAGTCTGGTGTGGTTGGGGAGTTGTTTATGCTTTTGAACAGCAAAAAGGGATTTAAGAGCTTGTGTTTGGGGGTTGTTTGGTGTTATATAATTATAATAATTACACCTTGCACTTGTCCTTGGGAATCCCTTCTGTTGGATGCACTATTGCAGCGATGCTTTGGGACAGGAGGGTCTGGCTGTTGGGCTTGGCCCTCTCCCTCCCTGTGGAGCACAACCAGGGATGTGTTCCCAGTGTAACCCCCCCTTGTCCTCAGAGCTTCAGGCAAGTGGGGCTGGGTACCAGCTCTGAGCTGCAATCCAACATAAATGTCCCATCAATTATGTGCACCACTCTAGAGGTTTTCATGTTGGGTCTCCAGCTCTGCAGGATGCTTAAAGGAGTTACTTCACTTCCCTTGCTCTAAATCAGCTCTGCCTTAGAATTCAATTTGGTGGCTGACTTTGCCTCTTAATTTTTGTTAAATTCCCCCTAACCTTGCAGCAGTTTTCAGATCTCCATTTATTGCCTTGTTCATTTTGAGCCTTTGTGGGGCAGGCAGCAGCTTTCTGCCCACTCTGGGCAGTTTGTGCCTACTCTTGGCTGCAGCTCATTTTCTTTCCTTCTGGGGTTTGTAGTCCCAGCTGTCTACAGAAAATACCTGTTTTTTTCTATTTTTCTGTATTTTCTCCTCTTCCTCTACCTTCCAGGAGGCCTCAAGCCATAAGTGAGCACTCTCTAATGTCTCTAATCCATTGCATGGTGAGCTCATGGTCTACACTGATTTGTGATATTCAGGCAATGTGAACTTAGAAGGGAGCAGTGGTATATTCTATAGGAAGTATCAGCCCACTATGGAGATATTTTAAAGCCTTCTCTAAGTACATGTGGGGTACCCATAAAACCTTGTGATTTCTCCTGCAGGTAATAGTGTAATAATAATGAAATATGAGGTAATGGAGCACTCAGACCTGAACCTGACCAGGCTTAGAGTGCCTGATGATGAGTGTTTAAAACATAATTTTCTGTCTCCTTTTGGCCAGTGAAGCAGCTGGGGGAGTTTTGCCATCATCAGTCCCAGGGGTCAGTGATAGGCTGTGGCTTTCTTTCTGGTAAAACACTGATTTGCCCCTCTCCATTTTCAAGCTGCCACCCCTTCCTCTGATGTTTGACCACTTGTTTGAATTCAAAATGGTTTCAAGACAGGACAGTCTGTTCTTCCCGGGAGCTGACCCTGCCTGTTTGTCCTGCTGCATCCTCAAACAGCAGGGAGGGACTGGCAGCTCTGCAGAGCAAATCCCAGGCTCCAAATCCCCAGGACCTCTCCAGCTTGCTGAGATCTCCATTTCAGCTGCTCCAGTACCTGTGTTCTTTGTGTTGCTGTTGGTGTTTACAAGCAGAGCTGCTGCTCCCACACGAGAGCATTAGCTCAGGCTGTGCTGCTGTGTCAGCCTGACATCTGGGCTGCCTTGTCAGAGCTGCCTTGGATATTTCCAGACAAAGCAATGTGCCCACAGGGTGTTCTCGGGCTCCCATGGGGATTTTTTTTTTTTCCATGGAAGATTGCCTATGAAATGAGTGGCATCTGGAGATGATAGCAAGTCCCTGCAGCGTGTCTTGGAGGTGAACTGCATCTCCCTTGTGCTAGTCTGTGCTAATTTTATGGAGCATCCTGCTCACAGGGATCATGTGGCATCTTTGGCTGCTCCAGTGCATCTCTCAGTGTGGGACAGATGCACTGAAAAATGCTCCAGTGGAATGTGCTCTGAGCATTGCACAGGTCCTTTGAGGGCTTGTCCTGCTCCCTTGCACTCTGGGTTGGTGTGCAGGAACAGCATTTATTGCCTGTAAGGCCAAAGGAGGTAACCAATAAAGAGTAAATTAGGAGCAGATGTGCATTTCAGTGGCAGTTCTTCCTCTTTTCCTTTCTATACAAATGAATCCACACTACGCTCCCCACCTGTGAGCCCTGACAAATTCTGCAGTCAGGTAGGAAATCTGTTTCCTCGTGCTTGGACAGAATAACAGCTTCTGTTTTCTCCTCCACTAACACAACTGAACCATCCCAACCCAAATACTTCCAGCAGAATGATGTAGTGTCAGAAGAGACTCAAAACCTGAGCTGTGGCTCTCCTTTGACAGTCTGTGCATGCCAAGTAATTTGTTCAATTCAAAGGGTGTGATCTCTATGCAAAGCCTAAAACTTCCTGCCTGAATGCACAGAATGCCTGAAGCTGGAGCTTGGCATTCTTCATTCAGCATTTTTCTAGAAAAAAGAATTACCAGAGGGTAATTAAACACCATATTTCTGGATTATCTTTAATTAGCACAGCAGTAAGGCACAGTACCTCCAGAGTTTTCCTTTGCTGTTCACTGGTTATGTCACAACCAATCTCTAATAGTTTTCAGATGGAGCAATTATCTCCTGTTCTAGTGATCCTCTGCTCCTAGTGCCTTGCCAATTAGATACAGCCTTTAGCCATGCTCACTAATTTTGTATGAAGTGAGCCTTAACTCAGAAATATTGGTTTTGATTTCCTACTAAAGATCATTGTCTACCAGACATGTCTCCAAGAAAACAATCATTGTAATCTTTAATAATTCTCTTAGTCTTTGGGAATCTGAAATCCTGGTGCAAGCTGAATTTGAGTTCAGTTGATTTCCCTTCTCTTTGATTCCAGATTAATTTTGGATTTATGCCCACTTAAACACAAAGTATCTGTAACTGTGGCTGAGCTTGGAGCCTCAGGTAAATCTTCAGAAAAAGATTGTTTTCCTTTCTGACCCTTGTCCTTTGCTCATGGGGTGTTTTTATAAAATGCAGATGGAGACTCTATGATCTTCAGTTACATGAAATGAGTCTTGTTGACCATGAATTTACTCAAACTTTGAGCAAGCTCGGGAGCACTGAGTGTTTTTCCCTGGTCCCTCTGAGGAGAAGGAGGGTGATGCTGCATTTTCTGGGAGTGCAGTGAGGCAGAGGCAGCAGCTGAGCAGCTGTGCTGTGATTTTTACTTACCATCGTTGTTTCTGCAATCGAACCAAAGCTGTTGATGAAAATGTTGCAGCTGACGTTCACTGGAGGGCCTGCATGACAAACACAGATTGAACAGCAGCTCAGAGCTTGTGGAACAAAGGATTTCCAGTCTGGAGTTAAAACCTGCTGTGGGAATGGGGTGAGCAGGGGAGGAAGGCCTGGGTGACCCAGTCTGGGTCCTGATGCCCATTTGACACCAGGCAGGGCTTGGGCTCTGCCTCTGTTCTGCTCTTTGTCAGTGTTTACAGATCTCTGCTCAGATAAACAGGAATAGATCAGAGCCAGCCAGGACAGTTCCTAGGTGTCTTGACCTGGCTATATGAGCGGTAATTTCACCTTAGATGTGATAGCAAAGTATCCCAGAAAGGAGCTGAGAGATAATTGACTTTTATTTAGAGCTGTACTTATGAAATAGTCACTGTTCCTGAGCTAGGATGATGTGCTCCCCTCAAAGCCAGTGCAGCAGGGTGAGCTGTAGGGATCAGGCTGGCAAAGCAGTAAATACCCCACATGATGATGATGGTGGTGTTGGGTTGGTGCTGCCTGCTTGACCCTCTGCACCCTCCAACAGCAGGGAGGGACTGGCTGCTCAGCAGGGTAAATCCCAGGTTACAAATGCCAAAGACCTTTCCAGTGTCCTTTTCAGCTGTTCCAGTACCTGTTTCTTGTGTTGCTGTTGGTGTTCCCAAGCAGAACTGCCCATAAACCCCAAACCCCAGGTGGTGATCCTGATCCAGGGCTCACAGCTGGGTAGGAGAATTCAGGGCTGTGGCAGCAGGAATTCTCTGGCTGTCCTGTTTGGGCAGGAGGTACTCCTGGTCTCTGGGCCGTGCCTCTCCTGGGCTGGATTTGCTCTCAGACCAAAGCTGTGCTTACCCTCCACATACTGGAGAATTTAAGGGGTCACCAAAGGAGGGTTAAGGGATGGCAAGATTGTGGTTTGAGGTCATGGGGGTCAGTCTGTTTGTGCGGTACTGATGCCCAAAGGAGTGACTGGAAGTGTTTCATAACATTGCCTGGAAAATCTGAGGTGGAAATGCTGCACTTACACAGAGGGAGATGCCAAGAGCTGCAGTTCAACACAAAGCAAAATGCTGAGGAATATTTTGGAGCCAGGGCATACCTGGAGCCTGGCAAACCTGTGGCTTGGATGATTCACACATAATGATACCTCACACATAATGAGATGGGTTTTTGTAGGGGGTTGAAGCAAAAGGGGCCTCTGCTCTGGGGGGCTGCCAAAGGCTGCTGTGGGCACTGCCCAGGATGGGGTGGGGAAAGGCAGGGAGCAGAGGCACAGCCCCAGGGACCAAGGTCCCCTTTTACCCCGGAGTTAATCCCATGTCATCCCTGTGACAGATGCTTCTGGGCAGATAAGATCTGTGGCAGCACAGAGTGTGGATTTTCAGATTATTTCCCCATTTTTTATGGAATCAGGGATGGTGTCTGCATTTCAAACACTGCCTGGTGGCTCAGCCTGCTGGGGGAGTGATGTTCCTGTTAAGGTCACATCTGCAGTCTGGCAGTTGCTGCAGCATGAAATACTGGGGGGAGGAATGGCTTTAACGAGAGCCTGGTGCCTCTAATCACTGCAAACTTCCTCCTGTGTGGAAATTAATGGATTTTCCTGATTGCTGAGGAACATTTGGAGCTTTGTTTTCTCCTCTTCATTTCTTTCCTCCTCTCCTGCCTTGGCCTCCTCTGAAAGTTTGTGCCTGTTCCCTGCAGTGATGCTCTCTGCTGGGGTTTTCTTGGTGTGAGTCCCAGGCAATGTGAGCAGGCTGTGCCCAGCCAGCCCCCAGACAAGCTCTGCCAGCTCAGCAGCATCTCACACTGCTCAGTCTGTGCAGCTTTCTCCAGGCTGTTAAACACTGGCATGGCTTGAGCTATCAGACACAAAAATTAAATCTTTTTTCCCCCCTGCCTTCACCAACTCCTCTTATCCAGAAGTTTATCCATATGCTGAAAGCACACAATTATTAGGCTTTAGTACTTGTTTCATCCCTTCTGTTGAGCTCAGGGCAATGTTTTTCTGCTCTGGACTCATTCACAAACCACATAAAAGGTCCTTGAGCAGGTGATTCCCCTCCCACAGGGCACAGTACAAGAACACTGAGCTAATCCTCTGGATGAGTGCACATGCTCCTGACTCTGACAGGTCTGGGATTTTTTGGTCCCCCTGCTCCTGATCCAGTGCTGACATGAAGCTGAGGGTGGGGTGGGTGCACGTGAAGGCTTTTTGGGGCAGCCCAGCTCTTGTTAAGGCACTGAGCTCTTCTCAGGATGTCCAAGGTGAGCCATGAGCTCCCTGCAGGATTTGGTGATTTTGGGGATCTTTTAGCTTGTGAGAGGCTCTAGAAAATTCCCTGCCTGCCACTGAAATATTCCTCCTCTCTGCAGGGATGCAGCTGTGGAGGAGTGGAGTTTTCCAGCAGCAGGGATGAAGGCCCAGCCTGGGTGAGAGGTCCCTGCCAGGCTCCTCTCTGTCCCTGCTGGAGCTCCTGACTCCATCCTCCACCTGAAAACCCAAATACTGCTTATTTGTTCTCAGAATGTGAATCCACAGCTAAGCCCAGACTTTACAGCATTTACAGAAAAGCTGCAATCTTCTTTTTGTTAATCTTCCCCTCCCCAAAAATCAATCTGATATGGATCTTCAGCATTATTTTCATTTAGATCTAAGCAATTAAAATGTCCTTATGAGTTACTGCAGTTAATTTAAATGATGTGCTTTGAGAGCTACAACCCCAAGCTCTGTAAAACACCCTCTATGCCTCCCATATAAATTGGAGCCTGATTTATGTGTGGGAGGCTAAGCCAGCAAAACTGCCCTGAGGGGAAGGTGTAGTTCATTGAAATAAAACTGAAATTAAATTATCTCAAATAAAAATGCAATACAGCTGCCTTCAGCAGGAAGTGAATGTATACATTTCATTAAATATTAAAGTTTAATTTGTGTGTGTGCATAATTTAGAGGTAGGCAGGTTTACAGGGTGGTATTTTAGCTCCTTGTCATTTGGATAAGAGCAGCAGTGTCCTCTGCTGCCTGGTTGGTTACTGGGACACAGGGTTCCCATCTTTCTTTGGGTTTAAAAGCCCAGCACAGAGTTTATTGTTCCAAGCTGGGTGCCAGGTGCTGTCACCAGTGATTAATGGGTCCTGGGAATCCTGTCAGCCCTGCCAGTGGCTCCAGGGAGAGGGAACTGGTTGCAGGAAACAAAAGAAGTGAATAAAATGAGCTTTGGAGATGGGCAGTGGCTGAGAGGAGCAGGTTCTGCTTTATCTCTGGGTGTGATGTAGGGCCAAAGACCCCCTGTGAAAGTGAGCTCAGTTAAAAAGAAAGGAAAACAAAAAATCATAGAATAGTTTGAATTGAAAGAGCCCTTAAAGCCCCTCCAGCTCCATCCCCTCTGTCATGTGCAGGGACATCTCCATTAGACCAGGTTGAAAAAGCCATGCAGAAGCCCCACACTTGCTAGAAGAGGTGTTTTGAGGAGAAAAGAGGTTTTGTTGCCTGTGCCAGGCCTTGATTAATCAGTGCTGCTTCACTGCCATGGAATATGGGGCAGGCTGGAAATCTGGGTGGGAAGCACAGAGCAGTGTTGGGCTGAGGAGCCCCTTTAATGTGGGGACAGGGTTTGGGCTGCCCTGGCATCTTGTGGGGTTTCTCTGGAGCTGATGGGAGAGACTGCAGTGGCTCCAAGGGGGGAGCATTGCCTGCCATTGGTGGGTGCTGTGGGCAGTGACTCCAGGGGAAAGCAAAGTTGGGCATTTTATCTTTATCTCTAAAGAAGTTCAGCTCCCTGCCAGTCACTGCTTGGTTTGACAGGATCCTTGATCTCTGTATTGAGATTGATGCATTGAGATTCCCTGATCCAAGCAGGGATTGGGGGGCCCTAAATTTACAGTATGTAAATTCTTACAAGGTTGTTTCCACTCTGAGCAGACATTTGTTGATGTCTTTCCAGAAATCTACAGGGATCCATGTACCAAATAGCCTTATAATACATACTTGGTAAGAACATAAATATTCATATTTCATACAACATTAGGAAGATATTAATGAGGATTGGATGCAGTTTTCAGTCCCAAAATGAGAAAAAGCTGGGGTTTTTTGCATACCTTTAAAATTTGGTCTGATCCTGGCATCGTATCCTGAAGTTCTCCCCATCAGCTTGTCCAAGAAGTCAGAAGGAGACATGGGTTTGGGGGCAGATCGAGCTGCTGCTTCAGCTTCCTTGGAGGCTGCCAGGCTGTGCAAGTAGAAATAAAGAGGAGGTTTCAGCGTGTATCCCATGCTGGGGAGGGCTTGGGGTCCAGAAACAGAGCAGTCAGCATCTTATTCCTGCTGAGGCAGGACGGGTACCCATGTGAATTCCTAATGAGGCTGGTCTCAGCTAATTTGTTTGCCCAGCCCAAACATCTCCAAATACAGAATCCCAGCTGCCACCAAAGTAGAAGAGAGATGATGAGCAGTGAAAATCCTTTTGTGAGTTTAGGTACAGCTCCTTGGTGTGCCACTAAATTACAAATGTGAACTCTGGCGCTGAGCTCCACAGGTAAAATACACTCTGAGATTAGCCTTGGGCAGCAATTACTGCTTAATTACAGGGCAAATAGCAGGGAGCATATGCAGTACTCTGGCAGTATGATTTTCCAAAAGGCAAGTAGGATCAGAGAAATCTGGAGTTTGAGGTTTAAATGAGCATCATGTGATGGCACAGCTCATGCAGAGCCTGTGGGGCTGGAGGGGAGAGGGATGGTTCTGCTGATCAGCCCAGCCTCTGCCACTGGTACCTGCAATGCAGGGTCTGAGTTCAACACAGAACTGGAGTGTCTGGAGTGTGATCCTGACTTTTTTCTCATGTTGGGTTGAAGATGAAAGGAAATGGAATCTTTCTGGGACCTGTGTGGACTCTGGGGCAGATAAATTTGTGATTTCACTCTTTCTGTAGAAGACAAATACCAATGGTTGGTAATTTGCCTTCTGACTCCATGGGAGTCTGCAAGATCTGCAGGGTGATGATCTGGGCTTAGGAAATCTGTTGTTGCAATCTATAAAGGAGCAAGTAACCCTTGGTATTAGCTGCTCATTCTCACCTTTGCAGGAAGGTTTGACTTCCTAGACAGGAACAGACACCATTCAGTACCTTCCCTCTGGTTTTATGGGTTCTACTTGAACACCAGTCTGTTCCCAGGCTGCAAGTGTTCAGTAAAACTGCCTAGATGATGCAAAAAAATCCCACAAATCATCTATGCAATTTGGTTAGGATGAGCCTGTGTGTTCAGGTACCTGGACAAAGCCTGCAGGCAGCATTGCAATGCAAATGTACGGTGAGCCAAAGAAGCTGCTCGGGAGGCATTGAGTGCTTCACACTCTGCAAAACTGATTTCTTTTAAGTATAAAGGCTGTGGGAACGGTGAGGAGCCCCTGACAGAGCAGCTGGGAGGTCTAAGGGAGTTTACAACAGGCACAAGCTGTTTGGCTACACACGTCCTCACAAGTGACACCAGGGTCCTCACCTTGGGAAGTTTCTAGTGCTAAGTACTGACACAAGATCTTTTGGGAAGAATTTGGGACTGTAACTATGCATGGTATTAATGTGATCCTGCCCCTAAAAATGGGCTCTTCTAATGCAAGTTTAAGCTGAAATCCAAAGAGAGATGTTATCTTGACAAAGCCTTGATAAGGGCATTTGAACCATTTGATTCCTCAGAACTTTAAAAACTCAGATGGGATTCTACAGTGTTTGGGTGCCTAATTTCAAAATCAGGAATCTGGTAACTGCATGGCACTGAGTTTCTTTTCTGGTGTCAGCAGCAATGATTTTCCAAGCCTTGGTTTTCAGTCCTGCAAACTCACAACTGCAGTCTGGCTCCTTTTGCAAGTTGCAACAGAGTTCTCTGATTGCTGGATTTTTAACTGTTAAAAACATTTTAATTTGCAGTGAAGAGGGGAGATTAATTCCAGATCACTTCCAGTGAGAGCCTAAAACTGGGATTTTATTAATTCCTTTTTGTATTCCCAATCCACTCCCCCACTGGAGCATTTCTGCTGCACTTCTTTCTCTCTGGCAAGGTGTGCATCTTGCTCCAACCACGTCTCCTTTCTTGTCTTGTCCCCATCTCTGCCCCAAGGAAATACTGCAAAGCAGAACCTATGCGTTTCAGGGGTAAATGGGGTTGTGGAATGGGTGATGGTTTTTAATTTAATTTGTTTTTAGAAGGAAAGCAACAGGGTGCAATTGATTTGCAAACGCAGAAGAAAGCTGGGAGTGGGAGGACAATCAATACTGGGCTTGACTGCTGCATTCCAGTGGAGTGTCTGCATGGCAATGAGTCCAGAGAAAAGATTTCAATTAAGCAGCAAATGACTTGGTAACCAAAGACTTCTGCCACTTCAGCAAGATGCCAGACAGTGCAATACACTGATTCCTTCTCATTAACTGTAGACTGGATGAAGTATATGGAAATGGAAAATCTGTGTGGGAGGGGAGAGGCAATACAAACCTAATAAGCATCTAATAATCTTTAAGTGGAAAAAGATAATTAGAAACTGCAATTCCCCTGGCATTTGTTTTAAAAAATGAGGTGGAGAAAAGAAAAGAAATCAGTGCTCATCTTTCCCCTAAATTCAGTGTGAAAGCCTCTACTCAATATATTCACCCCACTTCCAGTGAGTGAATCTGTATTTCTTGGGTGCCATTTTCTGATTCTTTCTGCATCAAAGCTGCAAATAAATTAATTTCATGGGCTCTCTTCCCATATGGAAATAAGTATTTGGATAGCTGAAGCTCAGGAAGTTTTGGGATAGGACCACCCTCTCACAGCCCCACTGGTTCCTGCAGCTTCCTGCCCATCCCTGTGGCCTGTCCCTGGGAGCACCTCTGGGGATGTGCTGAAACTCTCACACAAAGCTTCAGTGGCTTGATGCATGTTTAAAATCTGTCTGGCTGCTGTGTGGCTGTGTCTGGGAACGGTGAGTTCTGAGTTCCCCCAGTTTGTTTGGTTACTAGATGCTTTCCTAAAATGAGATTCCCCCTGGATTTACAAGAAAGCAGTGCATAGGGAGCAGCCTTTCTAGAAGCAGGTAGCTAAATCTACTTTCTATCTTAGAAATAATGGCAGAAAACACCACTGGGAGCTGCAGAGGCTGATCCACTGAGGTGGATGGATTCTGTCTAACAGAGCCCCAAAATCTTCACTCTGCTTGTGACAGCTGAGCTTTGCAATGGCAGCTTAGCTCAGCACCCAAAAATTGTCAGCTTCCTCTGTCTTCCAGGTCTGTCTGGGCTAGTGCCTTGTGTGCTGTCTTGGGAGCTTTCTGGGGTTTTCTCCGTCCCTCAGTCCTTCCAGAACACCCTTGAAAGTCCCACAGGACTGTTTGTCTCCTGGCTCACAGAGACAAGGAGAGGGGAATTGCAGAGTGATTCCAAAATTATTGGCACTGGAAGAGAATTGGAAATTTAGTGGGATTCGTGTTGCTCGGAGAGAAGATTTATTCTGTGAATAAACAAAGGGAGGCAAAGGCTGCAACAAACCCACCGAGGATGGAGTTTGCAGTGGTGTAAGAGTTGTCTGAGCTGAGCGTTTTAATAGCAGTCAGACAGAGGCTTATCTTATTTATGCTGCTGTAATCCCTAGTGGATCTGGCTGAGAAAGTGCCATCAGGCAATCATCACAGCAGCTACAATGGGAAGGATCTCTTCAAAGGGTCGATGAACTAGCATAATCTTTTGTGATATTAATGCTGGTGTGTAAGCAGACACCAGCAAGCCCCCAGGAGCTCCAGCCAGGAGCAGGATCTGAGAGTGGTGGAGATGAGCAGGATTGCATCCCTTAAAACAGGGCTTTGCAGGACACCTATGGCTGGTTTTTCCCAGCCTGTACAGGCACTGTTTACTCTGTCTGTATCATTTTGTTTCAGCTAAACAGATGATATATTCTGATAAACAATTATATATATAAACAACCAAATATATATATAAACAACCAAATAAAAAAATTATTTGGTTTAGAATGTGGCTTTTCTGCTGTCTGGATGTGTCTGTTCACTTGATTCCTGGCTCTCCAGTTGGCTGTTTCCTTCTCTTCCTCCTCCCATTTGCATGATCCTTGAGCAATATTTTTGTTCTTTTTTTCTCTTTTTTGGCTGTGGCCATGGTTGTCCATCTAATTAAGTCCAGCATCACAAAATGCCCTGTTCTGGCTGAATGCTGATACTGAGAAATAAATTTTTCTTTTTTTTTTTTCTTTTCAAAGAGGAGTGATGAAGGAATTTAATTAGCACAGGGCCTCAATTCCCTTGTCAAATAATTTAATTGTTAATCATTAATTCTGAGTGTAAAAAAATCATGTCTGGCAGCAGAAACAAACTGTTGCCAAATAAGTGTTTGCAAGGGAAATATCTCTCTGCAAAGTGTGGAAGACTCAGGTCCCTGTGAAGGTAAAGTGGTGCCACATCAGTGGCTCCAGAGAAGTGGGATCTCTGCAGGCTGGGGAGATATAGAAGATGCTTCACCCCTACCTGGCTCTGTGCTGCTCAGCAAAGGTTTCTGAAGTGGTTTCTTTGGGGTTTTTATTATTTTTGAAGCACAGCAAGCCAGAAACCTTGGCAGGGATGTGTCGGGAATAGCGTTCAGGTGAGCTGCCTCACGCGTTTGTCCTTCAGATGTGATGTGTTCTTTAAGAAATATCCCAGGGGAGGGAAATATCCATCAGGTCTGAGGAGGCTGAGGTGTGCAAATAACTGCTTCCCCCATTATGTCCAAAGCCAGGCTGGGGCAGGGGGATGTGGGAGAATTCATCAGCTTTGTTTTATTGACTCCAGCGGGCTCTGAGAGGGGCAGCTGCACATCAGAGCATTGTGCTGTCCATGATTAACAGTGCAGCCTCTTCTTCCTCCTCCTGAACCCTCCCCAGGCACAGAGCAGATCCTGGAGCTCAGCAGAGCTCAGAGGATGCTGGGGCTGCCTGTCTCTCTCTCCTCCTCTGCAGCAGGAAGGACAGATTATCCTGAAAAGAGAGAGGGGCAGCCCTAAACTCTGCACCCAGAGATTTATTTCTGACTGCACACCAACAGGTTATCTAGAGGGGAATGCTGCCAGACCCTTGCTGGGAAGGCTTGGCAGAGACTGCAAGCAAACTTTTTATTTTAATGATTAGATTTACTATCAAAATTAATAGCACAATCAATATTGATATGCAATTCAATTAAATAGGATGAAACTCATTGCCTGCCTGTTTTTCTCCA